TTCACAAAACAATCAAACAAAAGGTAAGTAATGCAGAACAGAATAGAGAGCCACAAAAATAAACAGATGGATCCTTCCCTTCCCTTCCCTGTCCTTTTCCTGTAAATGGTTTACAAGGAGATATATATATATATATATATATATATTTAAAAAAGACAAAAAAAGGGGGGGGGGGGGGGGGGGGGGGGGGGGGGGAAAAACCCACAAAAGGGTTTTGAATATAAATAAATTTAAAGGGAGAAATTTAAAAAAAACCAAAAGGCTGTGGGGGAGGAGATAAAAGAAAAAGTGTGTCGACAAACACATCTCCAGGGTGTTTAGGGGGGAAAACACAACCCGGTCTGACCAGACGGATAGGAGTTAGCACTCAGAGATCACGGAAGATGTGTTTTTAAATACAAAAACAGAGAAGCAAAAATCAAAAAAGCAAAAGAGAAGATAAAAGAACAAAGATAGGAAAAAATTGCAAGCTTTAACACAGGTTCAGTAAAGCCTTGGAAAAGCTTCAGAAGAAACCTTGAGCCGCTGCTTCCCGTTGATTGAACAAACAATATAACAGGGGAGAAAATGAGAGCAAAATGAATGAGGGGAGCGGAAGGGGGTGAGACAGCTGTATACAGATAAACCCAAGATCCAGCGGCGTCCTCTTTTTCGTTGCTCTGCTGCTTTCCTTCGTCCCTTTGCCCAGGAATGAATGATGGATATCTGAAGATGAATTGAGGTTTGGCGAGACGGAAGACGAAATAGGGAAAGTCAATCACGTGATGGTGGATCATTGTTGTTCCGGTGATTTGCTGGATGCATTATAACACTGGCCGTCTTTTCATTGTAACCCGGACACAAGCAAGCAAGGCTAAACCACTCAACCAAAACGACCTTAAAAAGGGGCATACAGTTGAACATGGTTAATTTTTCAGGCTGGAATAACCTTCAGTGTGGTTTTGACCATAAACCATATCAACCCACTCATTAAAACTACATATGCTAAGTCATGTCTCATACATATCTCACACATCTTCAAATGTATTGAATACAGTGATTTTATCTTGTTTCTCAAAGCTCTACCTTTTAATTAATCTGGATTCTAATTAATTCTAGCTTATAACTACTTTTCAGATGTTGAAGAGCTCTGAATGTTGAAGTAAAAGAACACATTAACTAGTTAGTTAAATATGAGTTGATTAATAATATACAGTGAAAGTGTGTAAAAGATGTTTAATATATATAAATTTTAATGAGAGAGAAGAGCTGAGTAAGGTTTATTTTTCAAACTTATTTTTTATATTCAATTGTACTAGATCTGCTCAAGAAAAACTGATACTGTGTAACAAGCATGCTACCGATTACGCCATTGCGGATTGTACTGTTTGTACCGTCTGCACTATCTGCAACGGGCGTACGAACGGACTAAGCGCTATCCTAATACAGATTACAAATTGATTAAGGAAAGAAAGAGAAAGAGATCCAAAGAAAAGGTTGTACAAAGGAGGTTCTTATAGAAAGGGAATCGGATTGGAAGAATATCAGAGCTTGCGCTGTGGTGGGGCGTGGAGCGGAAGAATGTTAAGGATTACACAGAGGAATTGTTAGGGATTACACAATCGCGGGGCGGAATCGCGAGAAGGGGAGCATTTTGCGGGCGCGCGTGAGCATGTGAGAAGGCGAACGGGCGGTAGAGGGGGTTGGTTGTGTAAGTTAATCACTGACAGGTGCTAACAGGTCACATACTGCTTCGATTTAAGACTGAATTCTTAAGTTAGTTACAGTTGAATATAGTTTATACTTCAATATTTAGAGCTCTTCAATATTTAAAAAGTAGTTATGAGTTAGAATCCAGGTTAGCTAAGAAATAGAGCTCTGAGAAATATAATAAAATCACTGTATTCAATACATTTGAAGATGTGTGAGATATGTATGAGACATGACTAGCATATGTACTCCGTAGTTTTAACTACATAGCTAAACCCGCCGCCGATTAGGGCACGTCCTTGGACCCTGAGAGAGGCCTGTGGTGCAGGTGTGGCTGGGCGCCTTGGTGTTTCCTCTACGTAAAGTGGGGCCCCAGATGGTGGGCAGGAATTAGTGCAAATTCGATTCTTCCCGATACAGCTACGAGTCCCCTCAACCTCGAATGCAACGAGGAAAAAAAAAAAAAAAAAAAAAAAAAAGGAAAAGAAAAGAAAAAGAAATCACTCGGTTGATCAATTTCTTTTCCGTTGAACCTTGGAAAAGAAGAATAAATATTAATTACCGTTTTTGACCAAAATACACTAAATAGGATAACGAGAGCGGGAGAGAAAGAGAGCATAGATATTGGTATTCACTTTTATTTTAGATAGTTACTATTAAGACGGGTTCTTTTTTTCCCACTCCCTTGTATATTATTAACAGAGGTGGGCATTGTAATCATGGGCGCGGGCAGATACTAGGGACAAGAAGAGGAAGAACGGGGACAAGTTAAAATTAAAAGAGACAGATGTGTTTTGTTTTTGTTTTCCCGATGTCTCTAATTCACTCCAATTTTTATTTCTTATTTCAAAGGAGGCAAGTAAGTACGGGAAGTCCTCCTTTGGGATTCGTTTCGTTATGATGCTGTTGGTTCTCTTTTGTTATTAGAGGACGCTTCTTTCCCTACTGCTCGCTGTTGATTGCTATTTGCCGGCGTCGACCTTGGCGATGTAAGCTGCACACAACAAAAGGAGCATATTAGCATGGGTATTTCCTGGAACACAAGGCACTACCACTAGAACACTGCCCAGCAAAGATGAAAGACAGGGAAGGGATAGGCGTGAAGGAAGCAGGGGGGAAAAGACGTGATCTTACCGATGAGGTCGACGACGCGACGGGAGTAGCCCCACTCGTTATCATACCAGGAGATGAGCTTAATGAAGTGATCGTTAAGGGCAATGCCAGCGGAGGCATCGAAAATGGAGGAGCGGGAGTCGCCGTTTAAGTCAGAGGAGACGAGAGCGTCTTCGGAGTAGCCGAGGATGCCTGTAGAGCAAAAAGTATACAATATTTGATCAGTTTGTGTTTTGTTCAAGTTTTATGTTATTTATTTGATTGATGGGGGAGAATGATATATATATATATATATATATATATATATTGACGTACCTTTGAGCTCGCCCTCAGAGGCTTTCTTGATGGTCTGCTTGATCTGATCGTAGGTGACTGGTTTCTCGGTTTTGCAAGTCAAGTCAACGACGGAGACGTTGGCGGTGGGCACACGCATGGACATGCCGGTGAGCTTGCCGTTGAGGGATGGGATGACCTTGCCGACGGCCTTGGCGGCGCCTGTGCTGCTGGGGATGATGTTCTGAGCAGCGGTGCGGCCACCACGCCAGTCCTTGGAAGACGGCCCGTCGACGGTCTTCTGGGTGGCGGTGTAGGAGTGGATGGTCGTCATGAGGCCCTCGGTCAGGCCGAAGTTGTCGTTGATGACCTTTGCAAGCGGGGCGAGGCAGTTGGTGGTGCAGGAGGCGTTGGAAAGGACGTTGACGCTCGGGTCGTATGTTTTCTCGTTGACGCCCATGACGAACATGGGGGCATCTGCAGAGGGGGCGGAGATGATGACCTTCTTTGCACCGCCTTTCAAGTGGGCGCTGGCCTTCTCGGTGGTGGTGAAGACGCCGGTGGACTCAACGACGTATTCCACGCCGTGCTTGCCCCAGGGGATGCTCGCGGGGTCTCTCTCTTGGTAGAACGTGACAGCCTTGCCATTGACGGTCAAGCCGTTGCTGTTGACATCGATGGTGCCCTTGAACTGGCCATGCGTGGAGTCATATTTGAGCATGTAGGCCTGTTGGTCGCGGGCGTATTTGGTAAAATGGTCAGCAATGTGTTCCGTTCAAGTTTTGCCCATTGCACCTTTCAAGCATTATAAAACCATCGAATGAAACGATTCTTTCTTTTATTTAGGTCAGACATACAGCATAGTGGGTCTCAATGAAGGGATCGTTGACCGCAACGACGTTAACCTCGCCGTGCTCGATACTGGGAAGGGTTGTCAGTACGCCAAATGCAAGCAGATACCATCCATAATGAGAATGGATTGGCAGGAAACTCACGCATTCCGGAAGACCTGGTATAGGGAATGTGATTAGCAATCAGAGATACAAGCGAAAAATGGAGAGGAGGGAGACTTACAATACGCCCAATACGACCGAAGCCGTTGATTCCGACCTGGAGACGCAGTTGTTAACATGTATCTTACCCAGATACGTAGATAAAAACACATCGGGATATGTATGGAGAGAGAGAGAGAGATCTATATATATACCTTGACGACCATGTTTGCTGGATATGGATGGATGGATGGATGGATGGATGGAGGTGAGTTGACAGAAGCAAAAGCACTATGGCGGGGTAGGACTGGTTGGTTTCTCTGAGAGGAGAGGAAGAGAATAAAATTGTTGGGGGAGAAACCGGATCTGGCGGGGTAGCTCGGGATGTGGAAGGAAAGTTCCGGGATCAGGCAGAGCGGGAGCAGAGGCAAGGGACACACCTAGAGCTATATATGTATGTATGTAAATAGATAATGCGCTGGAGAGACAGAACAGGAGATTGACAGAAGAATATACAGAATCCTATCTTGGATGAGAGAGGAAGATAGACCAAACGAAGAATTGGCCTCAACAGGCGGGGCGGCGGGCCACATAAATACTAGTATTCAAATAATCGTCATGCTTGGATGCGGCGGGTTTTGACGCAATGATTACAAAAAGCCCTCGAGGCTAGGCTGTAGAACGCAAAAAGCAAAAAAAGGAGGAAAAGAAAAAGAACAAATGAAATAGATCCATTCCCGAACTATCCAACAGGACTCCAACAACCCCAATTATCGTTCACTGAGCTCAACCTTGCATCCTCTCGCACCAAATTGCTCCTGGCTGCCTCGCCGGCTTGTTCCGTACCCGGCAATTTCGGTAATTCCTAATTCCTGGTTGTTTGATTGATCTTGTTATCCAGTAGTTGTATTCTTTATGTTTCTTTTTTGGGTCTTTTTTTTTTTTTTTTTTTTTTTTTTTTTTTTTTTTTTTTTTTCTTTCCCAACTACGGAGTACCCCTCCACCCCATCTGGTCAATGACATATCCACCCCGGCCGCAGCCACAAAAGATTAGGGAAACCCCTTGAACTTGCCCTATCCCTTCCAATATCGCCCAATGGAACAAAACAGACCATTCAACTATCCAGTCTGACAAATGCTACTCACGCCGCCCCCTTTCCCATTAAATTGCTATTACTAATCTCCATCGTCATCTGCGCTCCGCTGCGGATTTTTCTTCTTCTTCTTCGTCTTCTTCTTTCTTCTTCCTTGTCGTCGCAATCTGGAATGCTCCGTCTGCAAGAACTGCATCGGTTAGCTTAGCCCTAGCCCTAGCCCTAGCCGTAGCACAAAGCTGGAGACCCACGTCCACTAGATCAGGTCGGATTTGCTTGCGCCCTCACCCTCCCGTGAGATTCTCGCGTGCTCAAGGGATCTAACTTCCTTTGATGTTTCTTTCCATTTCCACGGCTCTGTAATCCGTATCTGTATTATCCATTATAAATCTGGAAAACCAGCGTGTGGCTTGCGGAATATATCAGATAGGTAGATATCGAAAAGCAAGGAGAACGCCATTCATTGTACTGTACATACAAATGCAATACGTACCATCCGCAGGCGCGGGTTGATTGATAGATGCTCGACACCAAAAAGAGAAAGAGAAAAACAAACGAAAAATGCGTGCAAAAAAAATAAAAAAAAAAAAAAAAAAAAAAAAAAAAAACCTGGGGAGGTGGGGAGGGGAAATATCTATTATAGCAATAATTTTTGTATCCCGCATGTCCTGAGGTTGCCGGGAAAAAGGGGCAAAGAAAGGAAAATAAAGGAAAAGGGGGTAAAAACACGTTCCCGGCACATTTTTTGTAACATCCCCCCCGGGGGTTCTAAAGGATGGGAAGTAAAAAGAAAGACGCAGACGAAGAAGACAAAATGAAGTATTCCACGCATCCGACAGGTTACTACTCCTACTCTTCCTTTGCACCGCCTCTCCACTTCTTCTCCGCAGACTCGACACTGGCGCGATCCTTCTTCACTTCGCCCTGGGCCATCCCAAGCAGGCCCCCCGCCGCCTTCCACGGCCGCTCCAGCTCGCCCTTGTCCGACATGCCGAACACGTGGATTTTGACCAGGTTGCCCTCGAGCGCGGTCTTGAAGGGGATGATCGACTGTATCACTAGCGGGTTGGTGTACTTGAAGTACAGGTGCATCACGCACATCATGCCCACGCCCATCAGCTGGCCCTTGAGGAGAGAGCGGAGTTGCTGCTTGTCGTAGTCCTGGACGGTGGTGATGACGGGCCGCGGCTCTTCACCCGATCCCATCGCAGGGGGCTCGACGTATTTGAGGGTTCTGAGGTCTGTTTTGTTTTTGGTGCTTGTTAGAATGCTGTGGGTTACGGATAGGGGAGGGGAGGAGATCCCAGGATCTAGATATATATATATATATATGTAGGTACATGTATTTATGTATGTGGCATGCGCGGGAAAAGTTTAATAAAAAGTAAAAGAAACGAAATGAAAAAAAGCGACGAACCTTTCTTCTTGATTATTTGGTGTCGTATATACATGTACAGCGCCATGATCAAGACGTTGGAAACGACATACATAGAGCGCACGCCCAAGAGCACAGAAGGGTTGTCGAAGGGGATTTTCTTCGACACCTGCATCATCACAAGGATGATCACCAGGTTAAATCTGTTGGCGGTAGCAATCGTATTAGCCCAAAGGTTCCTCTGCTTTCCCTTGAAGCGCAGGCAGCGACGGGCGTGATAGGCATGGCTGGATAGGATACCGCAGTGCCCGCACTGCAGGATAAGGACGTCATCCAAATCCGGTACCGAATACCCTATCCGACCACTGCCTTTTGCTTCATAAAACTGAAAGAAGATGTGGGGAGCAAGACGAAGGGGTGTATCAAGAATAAGGACCGTAGCTTACACTTGCGGGTTCAACGCCATGATGACGAGTGGAAATGGCGATATTGGTGAGAAGAAGAAATCAAATACAAATGGAGAGATATCAAGCAAGAGCCCAGTTTCCGAGTTTGTGTTGGCTCTTCCTTCGAAGGCTTGGGGCAGAACAAACTCAAGGCGCAAAACCTTGAAGCGACAACTGGCCCCAAGAGCCGATGAGGCGCAATATCACGTGGTTTACTTCCTAGTTTCGTGGGTTTTCTTGGCAAGCCTTTGAGTTTCAATCGCCTCAACCACCGTGATATGATCTCAAAAGCTTCTCATCGGGATCTAGGGCAATGAGCTGAGGAGGAACCGAGGTAGAATGGTCCATCTAATGCCGCCTCTTCAGTGGTTCCAGCGTTGAATTCCTCGACCTGCAAGGTACGTCGGCGATGCTCTCCTGCTCTGCGCTTCAAGTGGAAGGTTCATTTGCTTCGATCACAGCAGCATCAGGTACCTAATTGTGTCCCTAAAATGGCCACAACTAGGTGCCACTCAGTATACATTGATATTAGATTATTTTTGTATGGAGAATTGATAAACCAAATGTCTCGATAATATAACTATTGTCAAATATAAGAGTTCTGGTTAACTAACAAAAGATACTTTCAGGCTGCATATAGACTTCTTTTCAACCTCTCTGTTTCAGAGCACGTCACTCAATAGCAATTGAATCCAAATCAAAGCTAAATACATAAAAGATACTTCCGTATCTCATAAATTAAAAAGTAATATTTTCTCGTTGAAAAAAGACAGAAGGTTGGCATTGCCAGACTTTGGTTACGTTCGGTTTTGGAATTTTTTTCGCCCCATAATTTACATACTAGCAGTTCCTAGTATTTTTATCCTATTGCATCCCCGACAGATCTGTTGCTCAGTTGATAACACACTATTAGCCTATATTCTATATATGGAATTCTTTGCCCGCGACTATTGCTCGTGAAGTTTTACGGCGGCGGGCTCTGCGAAGGCGAGGCTGAAGCTTCGATAAGATCATTGTATGTATCCAGTTTGCCCTGCTTTCTGGAGGAAGTATTGAACTTAAAAAGGAAATTGATTCCTGTTTTTTGGAACTGGCACTCAAGCACGGTGCTGCAATCCTTGCCCCTGACTATCGGCTGCGCCCTGAGCACGAGATCGAGGATGGTCTTGAAGACACTCGTTCATTCTGGAAATGGGTTGAGCAGGATGTGCTTAACGCCATTGCCGAATTTCTCCCGGCCCTTGAGCTGGATTTGAATAGTCTGCTCGTGTGGGGGGATAGCGCTGGAGATACTATGCCGCCCATACAGTACTTCTTGACATGACTTTATTGCGAATCAAAGCTCTTTGTCTGTCTGCAATACCAGGACTCAATATGGGTAGTTTTTGCGTTGTACCAGAGACGCTGGTCAAGGACCCTTCCACGGTGCGGGATATGTAATATGAATCCAGATTTGTTGGTTGAGGAGCACATGGCAGCGCTAGGACCAGGGAAACTCTGCATACGAGCAAAGCCTGGTAGCAGGAAACATCTTTTTGCTGCACTGCTCATGGCTCATCGATTCTGCAATTTCCCTAGGGTCAAGGAGTGGCTTGGCCTGATAGTCAGTTCGGAGATGAGAGGGTGGACAATACCGCTGATTCTGCTCTATCATTCGAAAGACGATCCGCTGGTAGGTATTGGATATTTATTATTTTATTATTTATCTTCTGTCTCCGAGAATACATGTAGAAACGCGCGAAATTCAATTCATTGCTAACAAAAGAAATATGAAGACTCCTGGCAATATACCGAGGAGTGAGCCGCGAAACTCAGGAAGATGAAGCCGGACGTCCCACTGCACTTAGTGTTTCACGCTGGCGCGCATTCATTTGATAAAAACCACTCCATGGCCACGCCGTCGTTGGAAGAGCCGTTGGAATTTCTGCAGAACAACTGGCCTGCTCGATACAGTTAATTTCTGAAATTCCGTCAAATCATAAGTATGCGCTCCTGATATTCCTGATCTAATGTACCCGTGTTGCCTTCGTTTAAAAAATGAGATCTGATACACTTCTTTGCCAGACGTAGGCCATACGCAGTTATAGTGTGATCTAAATGAACATGCGATTAGCACAGAATAGCAGATATTTTGGGCTGACATGACTCACCCCCACAACCCGCAAACGGCACCAGCGGATTTCCTCCATGGCCTTTAAAATCAACGTGTGCGCCATCCGCTACTACACAAGCCTATCTAATTTTTCTGATCAGCCTTGTGATGGGAGTCCACGTCAACGGCAATGCAGGCACCACCTCCAGGCTCACCTTTGATCCTAACAGATCTCCATCTCCATAACCGCTCTTCCATCACCGCTTTATTGCAAAGCCCCAACCAAACCCCCATCTGGAAACAGCATGGGCAAAAGGACATGATGATCAGGTCGACAGAGACGAGTTCATCGCACTGCGAACCTTTTGAACAAGGGCGGACATAGGATTTACCGGGGTGGCGACAGAATTCGTATACTTCCGTGACGTCTTCGCACATGCCTTTTCTCCTTTTCCCTTTCTACTTAATGGGGAGATTTGTAGCGTGTAGGTCTTAACAACTGACTTGGGAGTTGGATGGACTCTATCTGATGAGCCTTTTTTGTTCAAATAGAGCGACCGCCTTGGATTCCAAGTTGTATGTTTATCTTTTAATGAACTTAAGCCGCCGTCAGGAGATGTAATATTTCTGACTGAATATTGCAGGTATCGAAAACAAACTATTTTACAGGTAAAGAGCGGCTTTTTTTCCAATGGTAAGGAAGGCAACAATATTTTCTTTGATATTGCTTTGTTTCCCTACTTTCTACATCATGACAAAGGCGTGGTAGTCTGTTGATAGATGAATATAGGATATAATGGAAGCAAAAAGACCTTTGCCTTCTTCAACATTCTTAGAATTCAGTAAAGATCAGAGACACTCACAATCATCTTTCAGATTCTTGTACTCCGTAGTAAACCTAAGATCTCGTTGCGGAATGGGTTCTTGTTATCTCAGCAAGCTCAGCCGCTTCGCAGGATAATTGCTGTTTTAACACTGATTTAATGATTAGTCACTCTTTTAAACAAGCTAATCTCAAATTGGTAATGAGCTAACCCAAATAATTCTTTGATCCCGTGATGTGCAATTATCCTGCGAAGCGTCTGAGAAAAAACGGTTCCAGTTTGTTAGCAACACGGGAACGATTTGCTCTATACCTTAGGCATGGGTGAGAATACCAAACCAACTCCATCTATTCAGCATCTCTGTACCACCTTGGGACCTAGGAAAATCAATGTTCTCGCGATGGTATCAATTTTTATTTTCATATTCCCATTTCTTAGATATGAAGTATCACCTCAAAGTCAACTCATTTTTTTTAAACACGGGAACAATCTGCTATTTACTTGATTTCAATCAGAAAAAAAGTGATAATTTTCAACAAGATACATTTATATTAAATATTGATTTTTTTAATATAAAAATTATATATTTATATTCTTCTTCTCTATAGCTACAAGCTAAGGTGGTTCACAAATTTCAAATATGTATGATGATTGTGTAATTGAAAGTCAAAGTTGAACAATTTGAAGAATCTATGAAAATCTCAACAATCTCCACAGAAGGATGAACCGTTTCTTCTCAGACCCTCTGGCGAGGATTGCTCTGAGCACATGACTTGTAATTAAAGTAGTTTAGTGTCATGCTGCTGCAACCGGAGCCATAGAGGGTCTGAGCTCGCTGAGATAAGGTTCTTGGTCGTAGTAAACATAGAAATCACGTGGATATATGATGATATAATCAAAGAACTTGCTCCTCGCCTTGGCCTAACAGCTTGAATCCTCCACGATTGTGTGTTGTTAGAAGGCAATAGAACATTCAGCCAGGGCATGGCAATGAACTGTAGTTATGTCGGCTCTAGGTACTGTCCTACCATCACCTGAAGACTGTATCTACTCTGCCGCCATGTCATATCTTTCCCCAACCAGCGATTTAAGGCTCTCAGGACTCTCTACCTGGGATGCGAGCAGGGAATCCTCAGCGCACTATGTCGTGCTACCCAAGGGGATGTCTGGAAACTGACCAGACAGAAAAACAAGGCTCTTCCTGCTATTTCTATTCTGTGAGCTGTATTGGCAGCTCCATTCTGTCCATGTTGCTGTCCCTTCAACAACATATATCTCTGCTTCACTGAAGCTTCTGATATTCGGTGTTCTGGGACCGATGGGCCACGTACCGGATTAGGACTAGCGCACTTTTGTCCTTCAACGCTATTTCCTAACTTTTTCTTAAGCGATCAAAAAGTTCGCTGGTGAGTTTCTGGTCTCCATCATCCATCCATCATCAACAACGCGAACTTTGCCACACTACTACTCCATCCCCTCGTCTACACTCACCCGCCATACGTTCTGTTCATCGCCCAACGCGACATATTTGTTCCTGCGACTCGATACCTGCCTTTTGTTCGACATGCCTGGTGGTAAAGGAAAGTCTATTGGAGGGAAGGGCGGTCCAAAGGATGCGGCGGGGAAAACTCAAAAATCTCACAGTGCAAGGGCTGGCTTACATGTTCGTCTTCCCCACTGGAAGCTGTTTGGATTTTGCTTCACCTCCTGCTCTTTGGCAGTCTCCCGTGCGACCCTGAGCTCTTCTCCGTCCGTTTAGCGGGCCGCTTCCTCAACGCGTCAGGAAGGATAACAAACTGTGATGGAACTCCTGGCTTTCACCACATGTCACCTTGGCGCGTTTTTGGGCTGATGGAGTCTCGACGCACATTTTTCGCCATAATTTTGCGAGATGACACGTTTCATCCACTTTGATTCAGAGTTACACACTACATGTGCTTGGTGCAAATCTGGGCTGACACAGTATCTTAACATTAGTTCCCTTGCGGTCGTGTCAAGCGCTTTTTGAAGAATACCACGCAAAACAAGATGCGCGTTGGTGCTAAAGGTATGAAGTGGCTCGTGATATTCCAACATTGTTGCCTATATGCCAATTTTATCTCTGAGATCCTCGCAGCCTAAAATGCGCGAGGCTGAATCCTGGGCCCTGGCTTAACGAATATACTCTAACTTCGAATCCAACAGCCGCCGTTTACGTCACCGCTGTTCTTGAATATCTTATTGCTGAAGTTCTCGAACTCGCAGGTAACGCCGCCAAGGATCTCAAAGTCAAGCGTATCACACCCCGCCACCTTCAACTCGCGATCCGTGGTGATGAAGAGTTAGATACCCTCATCCGCGCCACAATCGCGTTTGGAGGTGTCTTACCTCGTATCAACCGGGCGCTGCTCCTCAAGGTCGAACAAAAGAAGAAGAACAAGACTACGGAATAAATGCCGAACTAAAAAAAAAAAAAAAAAAAAAAAAAAAAACCCAAAAAGCCGTCGCAAGCCTATCTAACGTGGACATGTTTTGAAACTGACAAATAATGCGCGCCATTCGAATTTGATCGCTTTCTCCTTTGTTATGTTTTGCTGCAACTTGCCTTCTATGTTCTATCCAGTTTTCTTTCCCCAGCACTTGAGCTTGCGGCTCGCGTCGTACGTACGCCGGGTTTGAGCGGAGCGATTGGTACTCAGCCGGGAACTGACGGCGCATACAGCACGTTACCTTCGTCTTGCGAATATATGCCTAGGTATTCATGATACCCTCTGGAGTCTTTGCTTTCGCTATTCCCGTTCCTCCGTGTTCCAATCGGGTTATATGAGCGTCTGCACTTGTTCTGTGTCCATATGGTCTCTTTCTCTTCTCCTAGGTTTATGGATTGCCTTACCGTTGCTATTTTCCTCTTCCTCTTTATTTTTTCCTAGGGCGCTATAATGGGAAAGGTGGCTGGGTTGGCCGGATGAAATATCGTGCAGGGTATGGGACTGGAAATAAAAAACATCCGCCTCACCCGCGACTTACTTTTTTCTTTTTTCTTTTTGTTTTTTTTGTTTTTTTCCCCTTGTGTTCTGTTCTTAATCCTTGTTTTCCCTTATAGTATCTCCTCTATCTTATATTGCCTAATATTTATATTGTGGCGTTTTGCTTTTTGTTTGTCTGTGACATTGTCTACACTCGCTGTATAACTATAAGGGTACCCATTCGGTGGAATATATCCTAGCATAATACAGAAATTGCGGCTTTATTTCAGTACTCTTTTGTATTTGAATAAATCGGATTTTTCCGGTGCATCGTACAGTATATAAGCTTTAATCTGTAGGTTGTACAGGGTCGTATATGTACACGGTAAATTTGGCATCAAGCCAAGATTTGGTGGTGGTTTCTAAAAATCGCCAGAACAAACACCGGGAAAGGACTTGGGTTTCATATCACCGTAGCAAGGGGGTATGTTTCCTTTAAGCCATGACCAATCAGCATGGTTTCATCATAGAAAACGGCCATGTCTATGGTGGGTGATTGAAGCGTTGATGGGAAATATGGACGTTAACTGAAAGGAGAAGAAACGACACATGGGAAGAAGAAGAATAAGGAAAATAATTCCGTGATCGTTTTTAAGTAATACAAAAGACGCGCCTTGATCAAATAGCTACGTTAAATAGGTATGTATGCCATCTGCAACCTCCCCAACGCCCGCAATAATCATAGACGCCCAAGAGAGGACTTGTATTGCCATGCAAATTCCAAGCGCAAAGCAGTGAGAAGATGGCGATGAAGTCGCCAAGTGGGAAGAGGAAGGCGTGCCATATTTAACCCCTTGAACACGCCGTCCGTCATTTGTTTACGCTGCGTAGAGGCTTCCATCTAGTAGCTGGGTTTTAACCCGTTAGGGTTTGGGATTGTTATTTAGTGCACCTTTGGCGGACACCAAATTTAAGGCCCTGCATTGTTGCTACGCAGCCGCGTACTTACCGAAGGCAGCGTGGACGAAGACGCTGTGAGACATCAAGGCATGAAATAAAATTGTGAAACTTAAACTATGCTAATTGGTGAATTCTCCTTTTAACCTAGTGGTAAAAAGCCCAATTTTACAAATGCCACTGTCAACCCCCCCAGCAAGTTTTTCAGCTTCTTCACATCGACGACAATGCTGTTGTTGGAGTTGATGTTGTCCTATACACCGGAGCAGTGACCCGGTTTCCGGAAATGAGATAATAGAAGATCCTTGCTAATGCAATCAACAGAATCCTCGATATGAGATATCATTTCTGACAGGCTGTCAAGCATCTTTGGCCCCTGGGGTCCATGTGTGAGCCCTGCGCTTCCTGGTACGAACTAGCGCCCCGGACACAGTATATAACCCCATGTACTCCGTTGATAGCAACTAATACAACCTTGGAACCACTTTGAATCTCGGTCACCTATCGTTGAACTGTGCTAAAAACTGCTGCCATTGAAAAACTTTCTCTTCTCTTGTGGTACAATCCCCGTCCTGGACGTTAGACGCAGTATCTACAAGTCATAATTATGGGCCAACACTTCCGCCTCGTCGCGCCTCGTCGCGCCTCATCGTCGAGAAATACTTAGCTGGGGGGGGCAAGCTTGGAGAGATTCTCTTCGAAGGATCTGCAGCTGACCTTGTTTCTCTCTTTGCAAGGCCCGTTATACCTGTCGAATTTGAGGCAAAGAACAGCAGTACCACCAGCAAGCCTGAGAAGTCAACAAGTCAGAAACAAGTCATCCCTCAGAAAAGACGTCGCCAGTCAAGCAACCCGATCGATATGGCCTACACCTCAGTTGATCCAACTTCCCAGTGAGATACATAATCTTATTATCGAGCTTTTAGATATTGAGAGTATTTTTCTCTTGGGACTTAGCTGTTGGCATTTCTGAGTAATAGCAAGGCCAGTGATTGCAGAGCACCTTGCAAGCTATCTGGGGCTCTGGGCTGGAACCCCAGTGATATGTGTAGGTGATGAAAGCGACCGGGATGGCAAGTACCCCGATGGATTGCTATCCTCAGAGGATTTGGATGAACTAGCTAAAGGGGTGGAAATGGAGGAATTGGAGGAGGGATTAGCAGAGAGCTATGCTGAGATCCCTGTCAATCTGTATGACTTAGCTAATGCTCGATACACAAGCATCACAGAAGTCACTACAGGATTTCCTCATGGTCTGTTTGTCCTAGCCCTTGATCTCAGGCACAAGTGGGGCAGCCCGGCGGATATAACTCGTGTGGTGAACCCAGAGCCGTCGAGTTTCTATCCATGTAGTGAGGAATGGGTACTCAGAAATTTGACTACGCATGAGTTCGTTCGACCCTCAGCAATTGCACTGGATCAGAGATACATTCGCGGCCCGTTTATTAAGATATTGGGCTATGGGGAGGTCATTCTCTCCAAGATTTGTTGGTCGACGAATGACTTTACATCAGTCGCTGGGGATCCGCTCAACCAAGGACCCTGGGCGGGACATGCACTTGATATTGTCCCTGCCTCTTATCTGGATAATAATAAGAACCCTTAGAAGGACATTTGTGACGAGGGTTCAAGAGAAATCGCAGAAATTTGGCGGAGTGAGTATGGCGAAAACTGGAGGAACGACGTGAAACGGCTTTGCTCACTCAGGTCGCTATCATGAATTCAAAAGGGTTGATAATTTGATAGGTTAAAATCGTAATTTGTATCACATGTTAAATATCAATTCCGATTCCAGAGTTCTTGTTTTCAAGAAGGGCGATAGTGAAGCATTGAGTATTGAGCTGATTCAATATCTATGATAGCTAGTAAATTATTCAACAGAGCTATCACCGGTGACTAACCTCGAGTCTTGCCGGGTGGCTTGTCGATACAAGTGAGCACTAATGAAGTGGGGCGGGTCTTGATGGGCTTCACAACAGCATGAGATTCTGTTTTCTGCTCTTTTTCTTTCGTTCTTTTTCTCCTACAATATTTATATCATCGATAACCTTCAATATTAGAACGCATAGTTCAAATGAGCCATGTACCTTCTACGTTGAAGATATTATTCAGACTTTGTGACTGGTGTTCACTTTTGCAACCTTAACCATTCTCCGCTCTTAAGGTTATTTCTATTCGGGCATTTTCTGTAGTCCCATGCTCCGAGGGTCATTCGCTTTTGCTCAATACAACAAGCATGGTTCTTTTCCAACCATCTAAAATTCTATATCATCGAGAAGCTGGAACTTAAAAAAATATGACAAGGAGAGTGTTCTGAAAACTTGCCAAGTCAATGATACAACAAGATAAGCCTGGAGGTCGTTTTCCGTGGACGGCTGAACAATGGGATCAGGCATGGGACGACATCGAGAGAGGCAATCCTGGGCCTCAACTAATATTTCCCATCATCATCATATCCGACGCCAGTCCCATTACATCAAAAGTAAAATACAGGGCCGGTGACGGCAGATCTGGAGTGGGCAGACCAAGGGGCACTCATGAGCAGCACGGAGGATGCAAATGCGGAGAAGCTCATATATGATGGTAATATAATTTCCATTGCTTTACAGGATATTTCAAAATCCGATCCTTTGTGAGCTATGCTTATTTTCAACAGGGGAATATACCTACACAGACGAGAGACTACATGGACGTGACACTTATGGTGGGTAGGGGGAAATGCTACTAAGCTGGTGAGTAAACTACTAAAAACATTGATATTTCAATCTACTTTCTGCCACCTACCTGGTGACAAACAGAAGAACAGTAGTTATATACTGTTCAAAATGACTAATGAAACCACAGATGAATCAACCACCTTGATAGTATAGAGGGCTAGTAATTTTTGTAATCACCCTGCACTGTATCAAAAAGTGCGTGCTGTAATCCTACATGGCTTCCCGGATACCTCTTCCTTGGTTTGAACTGAATTTCATTGTATTTGCTTTCATATGACAGAACAATCAAACTTACGATGGACAGTGAAAGAGATTGTGAGGCTCATTGATTTGCCTTTTCAAAGTTTTCAATCTACTCTGCAATCTTGATGTAATCCAACACCCACACTCAGAATGCCTTTCACAATCAGATCAGTCAAGACCTACGGACTCCCTGGGGGTGGTGGGGTGTTTAACTATATATAGGGTACGGGCTTCAATAACAACGGAAGCTGTTATTGTGCATGATCTTTTGATCAAGTAGTTAGACGCCTACCCGTGCCTGGCACCCCACTACAGGTTACTAGAACCACCTTAGCCATGCATGAAAACAAAACAGTTGAAGAGGAAAAGACTTACTTGGTCTTTGTACTAGCGTTCAGCAAGTACATGCGAGCGTCAATTCGATAGAGGTCGCTGCCAATTCCCCGAAGCGTATTCATCACTTCATCAAGTTGTGTTTGCAGGTTTATGACTGGTATGATAGAGAGCAGAGTAGCAGAGCAGCAGAGCAAGCTGATTTACTACAATCTGACTAGCATTCAGGAGAATGGGAAAGTCTGGCTGTGCGAGGGTGTGCTAAGTTTGTGCCAATTCGCAAGAGTCTTTGATCATCAGAAGCTATAAAGTGGAAATATAAAGCATGAAATAGAAATATTAGCGTTGCAGTAGTGTTAAGTCTGTTACAATGAGTGTTTATGACGTTGTTGGAGTGAGTAGGAGGGATGAAGTAAATGTTTAAACATAACGTCTTATTCTTTTGTGATTTGGGATAGAAAAGTTTTCCATCCATTGATGTATTGATATGTGAGAAGATAGAGCAACTATAATCTACTATGTAGATGCCGCAATCTTTCTGCTCCAGCCCAATTTTTCCCAGACGAAGAAAGTCATCGATGATGCCGTGTATTAACATTTGAATAATAGAAGGTGTAGAAAAGAAACATCCATAGACTGTCACAGAGGATGGAAAGTATTTTGTATGTTTTTAAAAGACTCTGTGTTTGTGTGGTGGTCGAGGGCTGGACCATTCTGCGTCTGGCGCGGATCATGTCGAGTACCTATTCCCGCTTGCACAGCTTGCAGCATGGGTTTGATTCGCTTTTGTTCCGCATCTCTTATCCATTTGTTGTGAGGCTTAGTCTTCTTCATTCCCCGTTGTGTCTTGTTTGAAGACCGGGGGGGGTAGGAAAAGTTGCGTATTACTATGCTGTCTGTGTTGATAAGCGGAATTCCGTTAAAAAGCTCCAGAGTGGAATTATGCGTCTCCTGGAGACGGAATACTTCAACAAATCAGAATATGATATGGGTATTGCTGTTCAATTCCTGCAGGTTGGAGAGCTGCACCGGGCCACCGTAAAATCAAGTGGTGTGCGTTGACAGTGTAAAAAGAAATTGTATACTTAAAGGGTATATTCGTATTATGTGCATGCGGAGGAAGCAAAATGTCGCCACACGTATGTACAGTAAATGCATAGATTGTTTCCCACTCACATTACTCATTCGTTTACAGCGCGTTTGTCCACTTTCCACCCATATGAGACCTCGCCAAGCTGGTGCATCAACGAATTACAGGGTAGTTATATGTGATCTGGCGTAAAAAATAGGAAAGCCCATAAGAAGCGGGAAGCGGGACTTGAATTCGAAAGCTAACAAGAATTCAGAGAATTGAGGGGAAAAAAAAATCAATGGATGTGTAGGAATAGGGAACGCCGTGGCTTATGTAGTTGTTAGGATTGTTCTGCGGAACCTCTTGTGACTTTCCACTAAACATGTCCCTTATCTGCGGAGACCTGAACCTCCTCCAACGCCACGTTCTTTTCAGTTAGACCCATCTCTGCGGCGAAGGTGGAGTGGGGAACCCATTTGGCGGATGTACGAGGAGTAGTCTCTTCCATCATACGGTCGACTTGTTCGAGAGTGAGCCCCTTACTTTCAGGCACGAGGAAGTAGGCATATATGAAACAGCAGACGCAGAGGGAGCCCCACAACCAGAAGACGTTGGTACCCAAGTTGCCCTTATCGGTTCCGACAAGATACGGAGTGATGACGGCGATAATCTGTTAATAGTATCTCAGTCCATGTTAGTCAGTAAAGGGGACTGGGGAATTAGTTTGAAATATATGTTGAACGGAGTGACGTACGCAATTCCACAGCCAGTTAGAGGCTGTCGAAAGACCGACACCACGGGAACGCATTGGAAGCGGAAAGATTTCGCCAATTACGACCCATGCACCGGGGCCCCAGGTGCTGGCGAAGAAGAAAATATAAATACATATAAACGCGATCATCGCTTTGACCACCTGGGGGTTGTCACCAGCGGAGACACCCATGATCGCAACGATAAACTCGCAAACAAACATACCGACAGCACCCCAAATGAGCAAGGGTCGACGACCGAATTTTTCGATGGTCCAGAAGGAGATTGGAGTCGAGCACACGTTGACAAGGGTAGTAACGAGTCCGATGAGGAACGGATCGTCGATGGTGCCGAGAGTCTGGAAGAATGTCGTTCCAAAATAAAAGATAAAGTTGATGCCAGTCCACTGTTGCATCATCTGCAAGGAGGTTCCCAAGATGGTACGGCGCAGGTTACTGGAAGGTTTAGACAAGCTGCCACGGAAGCAATTAAGCCAAGAATTGACGTAGCTTCCTTGCGGAACGACTTGGAGTTCGTATTCATGGTTTGCTATGATTTCAGCCAGCTCCTCCTGAATGTAATCCGAATCCGAAGGATAGCCTCGTAATCGGGAAAGAACTTCGCCCGCTCGTTTATGGTTTCCTTTCCTCACAAAGTAACGTGGTGACTCGGGCAACATCATGAGACCAGTCCCTAGAATTATGGCCCAGAGCATTTGGAGGGCAATTGGAATACGATAGGAACCAGTATCTTTTCGATTCTGAGTCCCATAATTGACACAGGAAGCAAGAAGCAGGCCGACGGTGATACAGAACTGGTAGCCAGACACAATTGCACCTCGAACCTTCTTGGGTGCAATCTCGGACATATAAAGAATAATTATAGCGGAGACGAAACCGACACCGAATCCAGCAATTAGACGACCAGCCACAAGCAACCCCAAGCCTGTAGATGCTGTTTGAAGTATAACCCCCAGAATGAACACACCACAGCCCGCAACAACCGTCGTCCGACGGCCAATGAAATCGGCAAGATCCCCAGCGATGATTGCGCCAAAGAAGGTTCCGGCAGACAGAATTGACGTAATCAGCGATTTCTTCCACGAAGGGAGGGTGAATTCGGAAGATCCGGGGGGGAAGTCCGATTGTTTGAGTCCGGCAAATAATTCGATAAAATATGGCATGCCCATCACTCCGTTGATGTACCCGGAGTCAAAACCGAAGAAGATACCGCCAAACGCAGCGAAAGCACACATAAGGTACGCTTTCAGTGTGACGGGAGCCTCCACGCGGGAGACATCAGTGGTGCCCGCCATTGTGAGGGAATTTAAGCTGCACCCAGGGACCTTTGCAGTTTTGCCGTGGGAATGGATTGGAGGAAAAGGGGGCACGAAAAGCGAAGAAACTGCGAAAGAGTACCAGCGCGTAACTTGCAGGCTAAGTGAAAATAAATAAATAAATAAAAATAAAAAATAAAAAAACAATCAGAAAGCGAAACGGATATGGGGACATAAGATCTTTTTTATGTATTCTGTGGGTGTGCAACCCATCAGAAATGTTTGGAGACAGGGTCACAGAGACTGAATAATCAAGGATTGGTGCCACTGCACTAGGATGTGCCTTTTAGTGCCATGCACATAAGGATCAAGGCATGGATGTATCGATTGATCATCTCGAGACACCAAAGTCGAGCCTATTTCTGCAGTCGTGCTATCTCGTGCACTGGAACATAGCCATGATTTTCGCACCCATTACCTCTAGACATTCTCCATCCCGATGTATTCGCGATGGTAGAAAAGGGGAAATTGAACACGGAGTAATAACGGGTTTCAGAGCGATTCCATGAGAGCGGGACAAGGTTCAGGGACCAGGCGGGGAAATGCCCTTGTAGAGAAAATTCCTGCTAGTAGATGGCGGGGCCGGCCAGCCCATTATCTCCCATGGCAGCACGCACAGGGATGTCATCATGCCAGCAGTACCCAAAACGGTGTGAGCATCCTCGCGCATTTTGACCTATTTTGCTCAATTCATTTATTCACCTCGTGGCCTTTGAGTGGGTGAAGGTTGATGCAACCTCAACTTGCGACGATGCTCATGAACCAAGCAAAGTCCGACACCAGTGCCAAATTTTCCGTCAATCTCCAATCAAAGCGGCAGCAATTGAGCTCTCTGAAAGAAGCACGCAGATCTAGAATCCTTCCCAATGCGTCTTACTAAACCAAAGAAAAAAGGTCAGCCGACGAACTGCATTCGATTCTAGATGTGAAGGCTTTCGAACGTAGTATGACCAAGAAGAAGGGAAGTTCGATATATAGATTGCCCATTACAGCGATTCCACAGATGTGGTGAATCGAATCGCTTTGATCAAACTTGGCACGAGATAAATATGCTCTCCGGGGGATGCTTTTAGGTACGGTTGCAGGTCTGTAGCTCGACACCGTCCCAGTTCAGCGAGCTCAGGTCCACCAGGCCAGGCAGTGATCCGACTTTGGCAAAGCCCTGAACATCGACAGGATCAATAAAGAACTAGACTAAAAGCAGCGAAGGGATCAAGAGCCCAAGCACAACTACTGGACAGTCAGCGCTCCCTTTGTTGCAAAGACCAAATGAGACAAAGCTTAAGCAGCAAAACCAATTGGACAGCCTTATCACATGCCAAAATACAGATCTGTACGGAGTACTCCGTACAGAAGAGAGTGTTGATTATCTCCCATGATTGATGTTGACTTATGTAGCCTTCAGCTGGTTCATTAACAGGAGTGGGGAAAGCTTTAATTAGTCTGTCCAAGAGCGCCACCAAACGCAGATGTTGCGGCCAACCAATTTTAGTACTTGGCGAATGTCTGAACTGAATGTCCGAACTTGAATGACCGAAGCTAAAAGTCCTTAAAGATGGCAATTTCTGACGATCAACCGCGGGGGGCGGAGGTTGCATCGTAGTGGCTTGTGAGCCCAGCGTGTTGGCTGACACTAAATTAGGAGAGCGTCTGGAGAGACAAACCAGGGTGCCCAGGCGAACAGACCTGCTCACTGGTGGGTTCAACTTCGGGGGTAAAATGGCCTTGGTGGCCCACGGGTTGACAACTCCTCTTTTTGTATGCCAACAGTCCATATGCCACCTGAGATTCTCAATATGAGCTTGCTAGTGCTGGCATGTGAACGGACAGGGGCCAGGAGACGAGGGGTCTGAGGAAACGGATTCAGAGCGCCCTGGTTGTTGAGCTGGCAATTGCCGGAAATGGAAAATATGAGGCCTAAGTTGATGACAAAACTCAACTGTCATCAACATCCAGATCAGATGTCCTGATATTTCCTCCTCCAAGAAAGCTGCCAATTCACCATCACCGCCATCGTGGATCTTTAATGAATGCTTCTATTCGGAATATCTGCCCCTGAGAATTACTCACATCGCGCTCTGCCATCACCCACCATTAATTCGCCACCTTGGTACCCCTTCATTCTCACTCAGCTTGCTTCCTTGATTCTGATAAAATAAGCTTTTCTCTAGAATGTACCACACTTATTGCATACGCGCCTATTAAACGCCCGTGTTTCGGATGCAACATGCCATTCTTGCCATGCTACACTGCGGTCACGAGCTGGCTTTCCACTACTAGCTAGCATTCTTTCCACTGCGATGGAACCTGGGAGCAAATACCTTAGGTTTTCGGATCCAAGCATCACCGCACCCTAGCCAACCGTGAATGATCGGGGTATCAAATCCGAAGATTTAAGAGTTGCATCCAAAAAAAAAAAAAAAAAAAAAAAAAAAAAAAAAAAGAAAGAAAGAAAAAAAAGAAAAAGAAAAAAGAAAAATTCAGAAATCCTTGTGATGGTGACAGGGAAGCAGAGTACCGAAAGCTCAGAGGCCTACCCAATGTCGGTCAAAATGTATTTTGCAGGGAACTTCTTCCTCTGATGATTACGAACAATTTGCCAATTACGAATATCTATCCAGCGTCTTTGTTCCCTGTTCAGACCAACATGTGGACGACGCTGCTGGAAGCTGATCAGGCCACACCTCTTACTCCTCCAGCAAGCAGAATAATCGTTCCTGAGCATCCTAATTTCAGCTCCACGAAAAGAATCCCCCTAGAGCAACCAAAGATCGAACACCAAGTCAGGAACCGAATGAGTCCCTTACATTATATAATTTACCCCTACTGTTACTCTGTCGGGTAGCCGCATATGAACGGTGTCGATCCGGGCCATTGAGCCGGTTTCATCTTTCAGGCCATCCCTTTTCATACCCCCGTCACTTCCTTTCGGCGTCTCGCTGCTACGCAAAGAAAAATGATTGTGGCTTTGCCAAACCCGCAATATACTGCCCTTCGCCGGCACTTGGTACGCCTACAACAAGAGACATCATATTTCACAAAACCATGCAGAGCAAAGACCGTTTCTGAAATTCCTACCAGCAATCAATTATCACCTTTAACGTTTCCATGATGTTTTACTCACTGATATATGATCAGGGACTCATTTCCCACCTCAACTGGCCAACTGGTATAACTATGGAGCTGGTGGATACCAAACTATTGACGCACCGCCCAACGCTTCGCAAGGGAAGGGGGTTTTCACTAGATTCATTGGAACCAAGATATTTTCCACACTAACCCATTATGCCGCGAAAACCTTCATAGCGAACCCCGATTTCCAGTAAAAAGGCTGCAAGGGAAGCCAAGGAATCACTACATTCCCATGATTTGGAAAATTAAACATGGATATATAATACGCTATGTGAAAAACAATAAAATGAGGGTCCCCCCAAACTGGCCAATCCTAAAGGGAACCAGACCCATGTCCCTCGCACCTGTATTCAATAACCCGCTCCTGAAATGGAAACGGAAAATTATTCCTCAATATATATCCAGCCTCAGAATCCCCGGGATCGCCCTAGAAAATCCACAGTTCCAAAAAATGAAAAGACGAAAAATTCTGGAGGCCATCTCGCTGACCAGACGCCAGCAGTGGCTTGCTGGTTATCATTGTCATGCCCTGCCGTTTGGATCTATTTTATATTGTATATCTGAAAGTAGGAGATCCCTCGATGATCATTTCTCCACGGTCTGCTTTCTTATTGCATCTCCAGAAATAAAAGCTCAACATGGCAACAATGATAAGGAGAAGGAGTTGACAGCTACAGTTATGGAAAGGCAGTTCAAGTTAGTCGAATAGTGTTCTCCTTTGAGAATAGATCTCTTCACTATCGTGTTTTCTGTAGCGGGAATGAGGAAAAACTCACGCGATGGCTGCATAAATACCGGGGATGTATTGGGGCGCATCCTGCGACCTGAATACCAAACTACCTGTGATACCTCCAATCCCGCCCATCGCTACAAGTGTGGAACTAGCTAGCGCTCTCGTCCACTGACCACGAATGTTATTGGCCTGGTACGCGAGAGAACATGGAATGTTGGCATTGACACCCGCGGTCGTCAGGAACACTCCAAAATAACGCACGGCATTGCCTTCTGCAAATCCCATGATTGGTAACCCAATTATGGAAACGAGACTGTTGAAAACGAGAACAGGCGCTCGCATTTTATACTTGTCCGCCACCCAGGAGGTTGAGAACATGAGAATTCCCGCCAGGACATACGGCGGTGCGACGAGGCACTGGGATGCGCCAACACCAAAGCCCATGTTGTTGTGGAGGATGATGGGAAGGAAATAGGCAATGGCGTAGGTGACTGTGGTCAGGCAGCTGCAGTCGGCTCTCGGTTAGTGACAAGCGGTCTATTCAGAAAAGACAAAAAGAATGACTCGCAGAATGCATACAAAAATATCATGCCGAAGCCCCAGATTTTCAAGTCCAGCGCAGGACGGAGGAATCTTTTAAGGGTAAATGGTTCGACATCGGCATCACCTCTGTCCTTGTTCAATCGCCGAATGATGAAGGCACATTCGTCCTGGGTCAGGAATTTCCAGGCTTTATGAGCCTTGTCGGGAAAGTCGACGATGAATATAAAAATGAGAATAGCAACAGCAATGGTTAACTATTAGAAACTTGTTAGCTTGTCTGTGGTATACGAAACAGAGAAAAGGGTAAGCAGAGGAGGGCCCAGTTATTATTACTCACAAGACCTTGCAAAATAAAAATCCATCTCCAACCACCCATTCCTTGAATACCAGCCATCTGGCTGAATCCAAACGCGAGGATACCTGAAAGTGCGGCAGCCACGCAACCGATCAGGTAGAAAATCGAATACCGCTTCTGAACTTCATATCTCGAGTACCAGGTAGACAGAAGATACACGGTACCCGGGAAGAAGCCGGCTTCCAGGACTCCCAGAAGCGCTCTGAGGGCTGTAAGTTGTCCCCAATTCTTGCACAAACCAAAACCCTAGTACGGACAAATGTATATTAATATTGCTGCACAAGATAAACCACAAATGGGGATGTGTCAATGATACCTACAATCAAACATATTCCCCATGTGAACACAATAAAACTAATGAAGTTCCTTGGCCCGATTTTGCGAATAACCGCTGTCATTGGCGGCTGAAAAACAATATACGTTGTGAAGAAGACCAGAGCGACAAGGGACTACGTGGAAGCAAGACGCGAGATTAGTAAAATGGAACAAAAACGAAACTGGCTTCAATCCATAAAGGGGCACAAACGTATCGAAAGCCAATATTCAAGTCAAGTTCTACGTTCATTCCGGCGACGGCTGCAACTGACAAGTTCGTCCGATCCATCAAGCTGATGCAGTAGCCCAGGCCACACATAGTCACGAGCCGGCGGTCGACACGGTGGACTATTTTCCTCTGCTCCGCGTATGTATAAACCTCGTCGACATCGATGTCGGAGTTCTGCTTTGTTGTATCGTTGATATAGTCAACGGAGACCCTGTCCGGGGCTTTCTCTATATCACCAGACATTGTTTGGCAGCCGGGTTGACGGAGGAAGTAAAACAAGGATATTATGCCTTTTCAGCGAGAAGGGGTGGATTTATGGGCACAATTTAAGCCCATTACCCGCAATGTCCCTCGCATTTGGCGTGAGGATTTCATGGAATTATATAACGATAAGAATATCCCCCGCACGGGGTGTATCATTACATTTTGGGCCGGCCCACTACATAAAGTATACATTTGTGGGGAAACGATCCAAAGCCGCGGGTAAAGTGATACATCCTCAGGAATAGCCATATTCCAGCCAAGCACTGCTGAGCAACCGAAAGAAAGAGGGTGTTATTGTGGATGCAATGGTTGACACCGATTGGTAGCATAACAGAGTCAAACCCCAATATGGGTTCACTCGCATTCGCCCCTCCTGATAATGCACGGAAGCGTGGTTGCTGATTCGCCGGAGTGCTGTCCACTTCTCGCCTCTTCAATTCCCCTGGTATCCCCGTGGGGAAGTCTTCATTAGCATGTCCACATGGCAAAGAAGTTCAGCAAGCTCGAAGTTCATTCATCGCTTCAACGGCTTGTCAACCAATTTTAACGAATTGTCGGCGGGATGCAACCCCCAGGACTCTCATATGATGAAAATTTATTTTTATTGTTTTTATTGTTTTTATTTTCTTATTTTTTCTCCTTTGAATTTGAGTGAGGGTATTTGCCTATCTGTCTTCAAATTTTCTTAGTGCTGAAACTTTTCGATAAATCTGTGATCATTTGGCAATCCACCCTTTCTACTGAAAAAAATCCATGAATTGTCCGAGTTTTCTTCGCTGGAAATATCGCCACCGAACCCTCAATTCTGGGGTAGATATTGTTGATAGTATGTTCGCAGTGGAGAATGAGTGTACCAGTATGGCCAATAATATTATTGACGAATCGGTTTGAGATGAGCAGCTAGTTAGTTTACTCGTTAGAGGATATCCTTAAAAAAGGGAACCCCATTGCCAACTGATCGAAAATCCTCACCCGGGAAAAGGGTGACCTGGGTCACCATCAGCAACAATTTAGGATAAAGCTTAGAAGATTTGGTGAGGAGTAGAATTGCTTCAGAATAAGGAGCTGAGATTGTGGCAATATCACCCCTCATCAAAAGCATCTTTGCTGTGGAAATGTTGATGTACCCTAAGGTCAACGTGAAAACCACGCCGAAAGCTTTCCAGCCAAGATTTACTGTGGCAGTGGATATAAAGAACGAAGCTACTATCATCCTACAGAATTCTGGGCTGCTCGCTTCGACCCCACATACAGTCAAAGCTCAGTACAGTCTCCACCTCACATATTGCACGTTGTAATCAACCTGGAAAATAATCGGTGACTACCAGTATGTACCTCGCAGATATACACCGGAATCGAAATGACAATACAAACTGAAGACTTGTAGCGAGTCGCGTTGCGTGGAGGCAAATATCGAAAGCTTCCTGTGACCATGCCCAGGCTCCAGCTACCCAGGCCCGCACCGAGGATAAAGAGACGCTCTAGCAGCCTCCGAGAACGATATGCTAGTAATCCACCAACTAGGGGGTTATTGGTTCCATCCCGCCGTCTGTCACACCAAAATTTTCTGTATTTGTTCTGGCCAAAGCTGGAGTCAGTGACGATAAGGCGGTAACCAAGTCGGAGATCAAGAAATAAGGACACTCCTTTTCCCTCAGGACCCAGGCTGGCAGGGCCCCCTATCAAATATGCTGGAACGAGACTACAAGTATTCAGGCAAACTGGACCCGTTTCGGCCTCATCACTAACTCGCGGGTAAGACACCAGTGAATTCAGTATCTGAGCTAGCTGTCTAGCATAGCCTGCGCACAGTGGACTTCTAACCTGTGGAAACCATTGAAACCAACCTCAGATGCTGGCCATTAGTGAACAATTCAAAAATCAAGCGTGGGAAAAGGCTCAATCCCCACTGACTTTGGCACTGAGGCGAAAGCCCAAAGTTGCACCATTGTAGCAGCACACTTATTTTCCGACGAGCTAGCATGCGGCTCAGCAGCTTGTCGCCCAAACGATTGAGCAGTTGGCCGTACTCTAAGCTCGTTCGTGTCGTTTAATTGCAAGCCTCTTCGTTGTCACGAAGAATACTCATATCAATTCTTAGTTAAACCTGACGATTAGTAATCGCTCTTGGCGCCTCAACAACAAAGAAACAACGACTTTTTCTTCGACTCGTTGAAATCTCATTGGATCCCTCTTATGTTTGATTCCGCAGATATCGCGTTCGAGAAATGTAGTTGAGGTGTTTCATTTCAATATTCACTTCAATATGCCATCATCAGTGTCTACAACGCAGCTAAAATTTTTGAAATCTTCCGCTCAATACCTAGCTGCTCAAAGCCCTTCCACCTCCTCTCACCTATTGTCCGTCCACAGCCAGCTCCTTCGCGACGAGTTGAAGCTATTATCTGTTGCCCAGCATCGTGAATTTTGTGGCGCTTGCGGTACTGCCAGAACCGCTGATTCTTCAAAGACCATAGCTCTCAAAAACCACAATGGTGTGCTGAAACGCCCCAAAAAGGAAGCCTCGTCAACGGAACCCTCTCCTATTGTTATATACAAGTGTCTACGATGCCATCGCCAGAAAATCCTAACTTCGAAAGGTAATATCAAACCTTTAAATCCCAGGAAACCTCGCCTGGGAGCAACTGCACCCTCAGCTCAAACGTCCATTCAATCAGTTAGAGTTGATGCCCCGATACAGGGCATTGAATCCACATCCACCACTACGTTACAAAAATCTACGGACAATCACAACAGCAAAAGGAGAGCCAAAATACGCAAGCAGCAAGGGCTTATGGCTGCCCTAGCAGCAGGCAAAAAACACCATGCGCAGTCTCAGACATCATCGCTAGATCTGCTGGACTTCTTAAAACATTGATGGATATCGGATTTACTATGTATCCGACCCGAACTTAAAACAGCTAGCGCGGGGCTTTCTTCCAATAGAGGATTAGCGTCATCTCGGTCACTTTTATCACAGCAACTTTTTATCTCGGAAAGTTACTATTGCACCCGCCGAGATAAATTTCTTGATAGTTAGATATTTAAAACAGTCGCCAACTATCACGGCTAGTGAGTCAGGGAGTATAAGCCACAATCGAGTCATCATCGATGGTCTCCGCGTGAGTCAGAATCGAGTCAAAATTATAAAAGCCGTCGACTTGAGAGTGCGGAATTCCATTTCCTCTCGACCTTCCCATGTCAAGGACACCCACAGCGCAGATTTCGCTTCTACCCTAAACACATCGCATAAATCTGCAAAACTCAACGCCCAGTTGAGAACCATGGATCCTGACCCTGTATCTGCACAGAAACAGGCCGATGAGAGCGATACCAACAATAAGATCGAACAGGACGATGAGACTGGACTGACGCAATTAGAAAGTCTTTGCATGAACTGTCAGGAAAATGTACAATTATACCTGTTGATACATCTATGCATTATTTTCCTGAATCGGACATGTCTAATGATCATCACTACATAGGGAATTACGAGACTTCTTTTGATCAAAATCCCGTTTTTCCGAGACGTCCTTTTAGAGTCGTTCGACTGCTCCCACTGTCAATTCAAGAATAACTCGATTAAGTCGGCTGGCGAGATCCAAGAACAGGGCACAAGATATACGCTTGAGGTGACGACCTTGCAGGATTTCCAACGTCAAGTTGTCAAGGGCGATTCGGCAATATTCCGAGTTGAAACTTTGGGCATTGAAATGCCAAAAGAATCTGGGCAGCTGACAACTATTGAAGGGATTTTGACCAAAATCTTCTCCCAGTTGGAAGCTGAGCAGCCCGCTCGCAAAGATGTCGACCCAGAACTACACAAAGCACTTGATGGTGTCATTCAAAAATTGAAGCTGATGATCGAGGGATCTTCCTTCCCGTTTACAATTTCCCTCGACGACCCGTCTGGAAACTCATGGATTTCGCCAGCACCGCACGATGAAAAAGGACGATATAAGCGCCATGATTACCCGAGGACTCGTGAGCAAAACGAGGAGCTTGGACTTTCTGTAGAGAGCGAGGGAAAAAATATGACCATTTCAGCAGGAGATCCCAATGACCTTGACATCGTCGATGGCCACGTTTATTCCCTGCCGTCAGAATGCCCCGGTTGCACCAATGTCTGTGTCGTCAACATGCAGAAGGTTAATATTCCACACTTCCAGGAGGTGTTTATCTGGAGCACCGTTTGCGAACACTGCGGATACCGCACCAATGAAGTGAAAACAGGTGGCGCTATCCCAGGGCAGGGACGCAGAATCACACTTGAAGTAACAGGGCTTGAGGACCTCTCACGCGACCTTTTAAAGTCAGCCACATGTGCGCTCAGGAGCAGCGAGCTCGATCTTTCTGTGCAGCCAGGCACGCTTGGAGGAAGATTCACAACTGTAGAGGGTCTTCTCACCCAGGTTCGGGACCAGCTTCACGGGCAAGTTTTCGAGACGGGAGACGAGGACCTTGCGCCTGGTGACTCCATGCAGGAGAGCGAGAAGGCGATTTGGGATCGGTTCTTTGCACGCCTCAATTCCGCCATCAAGGGTGAACTAAAATTCAGCATTACATTAGAGGATCCGCTTGCCAACAGTTATGTGCAAGATTTGTATGCGCCCGAACCAGATCCGCGACTTAAGATCGAGGACTACACGCGCACAGATGAAGAGGAGGAGGACTTAGGCTTGAGAGATATGAAAACTGAGGGTTATGATGAGAATACCAAAACTGAAACCCTTCCGCCTGCTGAAGCAGACACCAAATTATGACGGATTTTTGCATTCATTTTCGTTGTTCGCTGTATGACCTGGGAATGGCGTTGCAGTTTTGCCGTTTTACCAGGGCGACAAATATGAACCAAGAGAAATACCATCGTTGCTATTTCCGTACCGCCGTCACTGCCTATCTTCCTCACTTTTATTTCTTCCCACCCCTTGTATCCCATGCAATTGTGCTATAAATTTCTGCACATGCTAGATAGATAAAATAGTAAAATAGAATTGCTATCGCGAAGCAATGTATTCGCATCTCAACCTCAAAGAACCTAATAATATCGTACATTCCATCCATGTAAACCGTTTCATTCCTCATTGTCCCCTTCCTCATCCGAAGAGATCAAGCCGTCATAAATGCGGTATATTAATACAAGGAATTAAACAGCCGCTCTCGATCAGGCAAATTCATCCCTAGTGTACTCATTCATAGAGAGGAATTTTTCCTGCGAATGGGAACAGGGCTGATAGCCTCGATCGTGGGTTATGTATCGCCCTGTGAATGCAACGCTTAAGTTGAAGTGGTACTTCCGATCCAGGCAGAGTGTATCAAATCCACCACCCTCAAAGAAGGGTTGCAAAAATAAACCAGATTCAAATTCATCATAACACTGCAAACGGATTCGCGTGAATAGTCACCCTCTCAATCCCCACAGCTTCCCAGGCCTGCTCCTTCACCTCCTCCTCTCCCATCGACGACGGCTGCACAACCCTCCCCTTCTTGTCAATCTTCACCTTAGCCTTTTCCAGCCTCTCCAGCACCGCACCGCCCGGCTCCCCCTCACCCGCGGCCAACACCTTGCCGAAAACCGTACTCTTCCCATCCAAATGCGGCGCAGGCGCAAACGTGATGAAAAACTGGCTCCCATTAACCTCCGTAGTCTCCGTGGCGCCAGACGCGGATTGCGATTTCACCGACTTGCTCGCCATGCTTAGGATGCCGCGGGTGTTGTGGCGGATGGTCGGGAGGCGGATTTCATGGGCGAGCGGGGTCGGGTGGTAGATGGATGTGCCGCCTTTGGGGATGTCGAAGGGAAGGGCGGAAGGGTTTCTGCTCTTAGAGAGCGAGATATCGCCGCCTTGGATCATGAAGGATGGGATCAGGCGGTGGAAGGGGGTGTTGTTGTAGGCGCCTGAGGCGCACAGAGCGAGGAAGTTCTGTGGTCCATCCGTGTATATATATTTATAGTTTTTTCTTGTCAGTAGAGGCGGTGAAGGGAGGGTGATGTTAAAGGCTCGTTTAGATTTCGTAGAGTTTATGTACCTCTGCAGTCTTTGGTGTTGCTTCATGGAACACTTCTACTTTGAGATCGCCATGGGTGGTATGGAGCTGGGTTGGCAGGGAATGTATCAGCTCTGTTTGGGGGGGGGGAGTGACGAAGGATAGCCGATAGCTTACCGTCACAGACATACTGGAAACAGCCCCTTACCAATAAACGGCAAATCGCACTCAATCAAGCTGATAATGGATTTAGCAATATGTATCAATATGTATTGCTCGACGTTCTCTGGTTCCAAGTTTCGATATCACATGATTCGCTAGTTACATCAAAATCCTATCTGATTGATAACTCGAACAGGCCCCATGGATATCTTCAAAGAGTAGCAGTCAGAGGTTCTTGCTGGACGGCTTCCTTTATCGTCTCCAGCGCCAATACTCTCGTCTAAGTGGTCATCTTCGATTCCAATTGCGCGGCAATATTGTTTCTTAACTCGCTGTTTCCATATATCTATACATACATACATATAAATATATGTATATATATAACCATATCGTACCGCATCGACTGTTTGCATCCTTCTCCAAATATACGAAAACCGAGCATTAGGCTATCGCCAGCCAAATAGTCAGTAAATTTACAGAAGTTGAGCCGCAACCTCGCAAAACCAAATCACATCCCACAGCAAGGCTAAGATCGTGGAATCCTAGATCAAGATGGTAGATGGATAGCTCGCAATGCTTCGCATCAATAACCTGTGCATGAACTGTGTATCGTACTGTACATATCACACGCTGGGATCTATATTCTGCACTTCCTTGACTAGGTACTGGTACTTAGTACCCAGCGTTGCTCATTCTTTGGTGTTGTGAAGCTTACTTCACTTTTTAAATAGCAGGCAGTAGGTAGGGGCTCCGTCACGGGCATGAACGATTTCAAGGGTATTGGAGCGTGCAACATCGGGCATGAGTGAAATTCCCAGTTCATTATTTCAAAAGGATGAAGCCGACTTGAATGCACAGGATTTGTCTGTGATCTAATTTGCGAGCATGGGCGGTATTGGCAATACGTAGTAGTATTTGGTACCAGAATGAGGCTCAAACCCCACCACAAAAGCAGAACTCAACGGGTCAGGGCACTTGTACCAGGTACGTGCGTCCCGCACACGTCCTCGCCCCAGGCGTACCGCACATACGGTATCATACAAGGAAATCTCCGTATCCCCACCCGACGTCAACACTGCATCAGCAACATCACGGAAGGGAGCAAAACGCCCGATGTCCTTTGTCTTTGCCCCGTGGTTGTAGGCAATGCAAGACGATCATCAGAGCCGCCTCCTGCAAGAATTATTCGAACAAAGCGGCAGCCGTTGAAGCCACCCACCTCTAGCCCGTTCTTCAACCTCGTGTTCATCATTATGCCACTCCGTCGACTCCAATTAACCCTAGTCTCCTAGGCGACCTCCTCCCCTATTCCTGTTTCACCCAGCCGGTTGACAGCCTCTTCCGCTGCGGAGGAAACGAAACATCAATCGCTGCGCCCACCCTCCTCTCCCCTCCTCCAGGGACCTGTCCAGCCAGACCCTAACCTCGGCCAATCCCTGGCAAGCTTATCCGCCCAGCCACCAATAGGCGTGTTTACTCATCTAGGCTTGCCTATCTCAGCCCAGCACAGTCTGCTCACCACTGACTACCCAGACCTCGTTCGCACCAGTCAGAACAGATTGCACAATCAACTCCTCTTGAGCCTTGGAGTCCTTGACAACTTCTTTAGATTTTCGTGTCTCTTCCATATAATCTCCCGTTGGCTGAGGGCTGAACTTATGCTCCATCCATTGCCTCACTCTTAAGCGCCCGCCCAGCGATTCGTCATTCATATCCACTTTCTGCCGTCAGGCGCGTGAACACCCGCCCAAACCCAACCAAGGCAGGCAGGGAGACAGGAAACCAAGGTCTTTATTTTATTCTACGTCCTTCATGCACCAACTCCAACCTTCCCGCCATAGTCAACGCTATCGACATCTATCATCATCACAAAACATTCCTAAATCGCACCAGGCTCCCCCAGCCACGTCTAATGGTCAATTAGGAGGAAGCTCCGGAGAAAGATGGCCGCATTCGTGCGTGTGTCAGGGCCCCCCAACGGTCATTTTCTCGTTGGATACCCTGGCATATCTGCGACTCTGGTGATTCCCCCCTCCCTCTCTCTGTTTGAATCTCCATGAGTCCTGTCAGACTTGAAGTTCGCGGGCGCTGGCCGGTGAATAAACATTTATGACCCGAGTTTTGTCCTTGTTGCTAACCTTTTCTTTTTTTTTTAAAAAAAAAAACAATGTGTACAGCCGCGCATCGAAGGTAAGGTCGAGATTCGCCCTAGCGCCGGTATTTCAGCACCAGTCAACATCTCCATGGTTACAATATGCCTCCAACGACGAGAAACGATACACCCTTCCGCAGATTCGGTAACGAAGAGACATCTAGCTGCGCCCCGAAAGGAAATTACGGATATCGTGGGAAAGGAAATGCTACTTTTTAGATGTGCAATGGGCCGCGACCATGAAGAGATAATTGCCATGGACCTCCCTTTCGTGTTATTCATTCCCTTTGGGAAACCTGGACAAGAGTCGTCTCGGCGGCTGCCTCCAGCAAGCCTCCAGTTACCCAGTAGAACGGCAGAGACATATTATGAGCTGGTGGTAATGGTGCAGCAAGGTCCCGCAGAGCAAAAAAAATATGCATTTCCTGTCCCAATCTCGAGATACGATACCATCTCGAGCTTTGGCATGTTCAACCGGCCCGAATCATCGGAAAAGGTCTCAGACCATTTGGTAACTCTAGGGATATCGATTCCGCGCTGGTCGTTTGGGCCCCTGGATCCAATCAGTGTGTGTGTCAAGCTCTCTCCAAACCCGGATTGGATGAACAAGGCTCGACGAGTGACGATACAAAAAATCACCATTTCTATCGATGAAGAGATCATCTATAACCATGAGGGTGACGAACCGCAACGCAAAACTAAAACCCTCACAAAGCGAGCAGAGAGTGTTAATATGAAGTTACCCGAAGCGGGATATATCACCACTCTAGGTCTTGTATTTCCCTCAAGAGATCTAAGAGATGCAGAAGGAATACTACCGCGAGGGAAGCCGGCGTTCCCGATGTACGCTGTCAACGGCTTCACTACTACTGCGTCACTATATAAAATCGAATACTACTTAACAGTTAAGGTGCGACGGGATTAATAGCTAATTTGATTATCAAAACCTTTAATTTACCGATCTCCACTAACATTTTCCGATTCAGGCACATCTAACGTCAGCCAGAGATATCGTTCTGCGACAGCCCATAGTGGTATGTCCATTTGACCACACAGGATGCATACAAGAAATGGATGCCGTCCGGATAGCTGCTGAGAACGCAGGCAAAATTAACCCGGACAATCCAATGCTACCACTGCCTACGATAATCCGAGTCCATGACCCTCAAGCTCTGAAGTACCTGGGTGTGGCCATAGTTGGCAATGTGAAAAAGCCAGTGATCGAATGACCAGCATCTCGATTTGTCGCCACGCCCGAGGCGAGATTTCATCTATTTATAAATAAATAACCATTATTCTTGGCCCAGATCGATCGCCCATCTGGCTTTTACTTTTTTCATCTTGTCAGCAGAATTATATCGTCTATCCCTTCCACTCATGCACGTCTCGCAAACGAACAAATTTCAGATATTCCGAAAGAGTAAATTAATGTCTGAGAAAAGTAACATTACAGCGCAGCTATTGAATAACGGAACTGCGGGAATATCAAATTGCCATGACATTCAAAACGATGACGAATGCTTGTCTGCAACCATTCGGAAGATATGGGACATCCCTTTTTACACCTTTATTCAAACTCATCTATCTATATACTTACGATCATGAACGTGTCCATGGATCCATCCCCTTTGCATATTTCAATTTTTACATTTCCCACCTTCACCCTCCGTATCTCTCGGGATTCGTTGATCTGGAGAAAGGCCTTCCAATCGGTCACCTTCGAACAAAACTCGTATCCTGTTAATCTCAATCTTGTGTCGCGGCTCGCTGGCTGTCTACATAATAAAAGGTCTCCAGCAGGTGTCACATCGATTCGTACCCCTTTCTCTCATCAACATTCCAGTTGTCGTCTTTGTTTTATTTGTCGTTTCACCCTTGATTTCTCATTCAAATGCGGCTGGATTAGTTATGCCAGGATCCATAGTATTTAGTCACCGGGACCTGGGTGGGAAACTAGGAGGGAAACACTATTTGGGCATATCTCCCGCTGTTTGTGTGTTTTGCTTCTTTATTTTCTTTTCTTTTCTTTTCTTTTTTTTTTTTTTTTTTTTTTTTTTTTTTTTTTTTTTGGTACTGGCATTGGAGTGTGTTGGAGTTCTTTTTATGGACATGCGCCATTCGGGTCTTTTGCAATTGGCATCTGTTAGCTATTCGGTGGTTTCTTTTCTTTCGTCGTGTTTTTCTCCATTCTCCTGCTTTACTGTGTGATGGGATGGAATATGAAATGGGAGCGGGTTCCAGGCGCTTGAATATTGGTTCTGATTTTTCCTGACCTCTTTTATTTTATTTTATTATCTTTTGATGTTTCTCCCGTGTTCTACCCTATTTCAGTATATCCATTTTTTTTTTTATTTCAATCCCACATCCTGGTGGAAGACCTTCATTGATTTTTTTTTTTTTTTTTTTTTCACTTTTCATTTTTTTCTCTGCAACTACATCCAAACATTTCTCACCCCCCTCCCAATGCTACAAGTTGTGACCTTAACGCTTTAACCTCTATTTACCTGCTCCACATTTCCGTATATCATTTTGGGAACTTTCCCTCGTCCCTTAGTTTATGTACTCTTATTTCATATTATAAAGAAATGGATCTGGATGTGGACGCCATGCCCGCGCGTATGTCTGTATCTATGTCAACGTTTTGACTATTTTCAAAGGAGTTAGCTGTAGAATCTGGAGAGAACATGGGAAGCGAGCTCAATAAAATTATTTTTTATGTTTTTAGTCTTTACTTTTATATCTGTTCCCAAGTTTATACACTTTTCATCTTTTTGGTCCTACTCTCTATCATTGTCTCTTACTTCGCATTTCTCTGACTTTCGCTTGTCCTCATTTCTCCGTTTATGATCCTTAGATACGACGAGTCTCATAGGACATTACATAGACACGATTCGAGAAGATAAGCTACCGGGAATTGTCAGTTGGGGATCCGTTTATTTAACCCTTATATATTCCGCATCTGCATCTGAATATCTCCTCAGGGTCGCGAACACTGCCTATCATGAAATACGTGAAAACAATAAACGGGGGAGGAAACGAAAAAAGAAAAGTCAAAATGTCATCATCATCATCATTCATCATCGTTCTTCATAAAACATTCAGATATTAAAATTAAACCTTCAACCCATTTTCCAATAGCTTCCTCAGGCCCTCAATAACATCCACTGTTGCTGTTTCTTCTCCACCACCTTTTATAGCGGTAACATCCTGCATCTCTTCCCCTCCCCCCTCCATCTCTAGCTCCTGAATAGCCCCTCTCAACATATCCAGCACGGTAGCATACTGAGCAGAGCCACGCCCGAAGGTCGAGAGGGTGTTGGACAGATTTGTGGATATCTAGGAAAGGGGCGCAATAATTAAGATATACGGCGCCAAGAGAGTCGAGCAGGGATGGATTGGGAAAAAAGGGCGGAAGGGTTAGCTGATTGTGAGTTCACCAGAGACTTACTTGGGCGATTAGATCGGGCGATGTCGCGCTGGGAGAAGCAGCTTGTGGAAGAGGGGGCATCTGATATATGAAAGAAATTGGAGATGCTCGTGTCTAGTCAATACGGCTTTGTTGGTGGGGTGTCGGGGAGCTGGAGAGATGCAGAGATGCAGGTATGGTATTAAGGAGGAAACGTTAAATTCATGGGATAAATGAATTCGTTATTTGTCTCCCATTATCCTCTCTAAAAGAAAGTGGGACCTTTGCAATCTCTAATAATAGGAGAGAATTGTCGGTCGTATACGGAGTAGTTAGAGTAGTGTATGGTTGTTCCCCTTTATCGATAAGGCCGTCACGTAACTTCACCGTAATCGAGATGATTTTTTTGAGCTCACGTCCTCACCGTCTTACAGAGACACCAGCTCTTCTTTCCAATCGCAACCCCAATTACAGATGGCTGAATCAAAAACGAAGCTACATCAACCTTTGTCTGCTAAACACCTCTACGAAGGATCTATCCACTCCACAGTACTAGAGCACCATGGCCGACGCTGACGAAGATGCCCTCATCCAACCTCCCTCCTCCCACGACCAATCCGCCCACATAGACCAAGACCTATCCGACGAAACTCAAGACTTTCGCTTCCTGAACTCTCTGTCCTTGTATGTAACGCGGCACTACGACCTCGAGCTTTAAATAAATAAGCTCGGTTTCCCTCCTGGCTGACCCATCATGACTGTAGCCTCCCTGACCCGAACCAACCGCCCTCCCTCCCACGCCGGGGGGAAAAGGATTTCGAACCAAACCCGACACTACGCCAGACCGATGTCCTCGCCGCGTCGCGCGATGCTATGCACAATGCGCTCGCGTACCCAAGGCTACACAATCCGAAAACGCGCGTGGTGGGTATCTACTGTCCGACGGGGCTGTTAAGGCCGGCGCACGCTGAAGGATCCGACAGCGCGGATACGGAAAGTGGTGGCCAAGTAGCAGTTAGCGAGGAAAGGAAACAGGAGGAAATTTGCAAAGTGGAAGATAGAGATGAAGGACAGATAGTCCCTCCGAAAAAGAAACACCCTCGGCCTCATGGAGTCGGTAGGGGCACCTGTGTCTGCGTCCCCAGTCCGCGGGGCCAGCATTTTAGGACCGTCGGCCGATCCGATCAGTGGAATCGCATGTGGCTGCTACCTGAAGAAGCTCTGTACCTACTGGAAAGGGGCAGCTTGGATATCCGGTGGCCTGCGCGGGCGGGAGGACATGGAGCCAAAAGCACCGTCACGGAACATGGAGAAAATGTGGAGGATGTGGACGGAGGAGTCCCAATGAGTTTACAAGCAGCATACGCATGCTTCCTCGGACGTGGGGGATTAACATTACAACGGTATATTGTCTACGCGAACCTGAGGAGGGGTGGTTATGCAGTGATTCGTGCTCCAAGTTGGGATGACTGTGACGGCAATGATGACAACAGGGCAGTTAATCAGGTTGCAACTGATGCGGCCGTTGCAATGACTGGAGCTGGGATACGTGCACATATGGAGCAGAGCCGCGGGGGGGTAATCAACTTGCTGACGCGATTTTTCAACTCACTATTTGAACCCGGGCCTGCACGACGCTTAGCCCACGGGCCCGTCATCGGGCTAGGTATACATCGTAACTACCGTGCGTCATAAACCCAAAACCACATCCTTGTCTTAGAAATCCACCAAAAATCATCAGCCCTAACCACATATTTCCCCCCCTTTTACAGACGATATCTACCGCGCCCTCTCTATAATCACAGCCCATAACCCAGAGCACCCCGAACCCACTTCGCCCAAACACACTACGCCCCCCTACTGCCTGGCTTACTACGTCTACAAACCCTCCACCCCCTTCCGCAAATCTACTCCAGGAACCCCCGACTTCCGCCTCGCCGTCATCGACTCCCGCCGCAACCCTACCCTTCCCACTCTCCACGAGTTATCAGCACTGTTGGAAAGCACGCCGCTCGACCCGCCGCACGGCGAGAAGATGGAACGGCTGACGTATATGCGGCTACGGCATGGGTGGCGGAATGTAATCTTGGCGGTGGTGGACCAGGGGGTTGTGAGTTTTTTGAGGGTGGCGGACGCCGGTTTTGTTGGGGTGCGGGTTTATGAGAAGGGTGCGCCCAGTGGGATTAAGGGGGGAGGGCGAGGGCGAGGGCGAGGAGGGAGGGGAGCGCAAAATGGCCGTGCTGTTGGTGGCCGTGAGCGTAGGAGATAGAAAGTTGTGATCAAGGATGTGATCTTGGTTGGCATTTTTTTTTTTCCTCTTCTTCTTTTAAATTATTATGATTGGAGAAAGCAAGAGGTCAGATATTTGAGGATATGTAATCTCATCGATATGGCAAGGAATGTAACATAGATACAGGGTCTTTGCGGGGCTGCAGAGAGCCGCCGGAAACGTAGCAAATGAGAAAAATCATATATAATCTCGAAAGCCCCCAAACGTACCACCAAGCGACTCCCTTTTTGCTACATGATATCTAGCTATGGGAGCCGGCAGTTTGACTTGGTCTGTAACGATGCATATGTTTTGCCTTTACCTGACGGAGTAAGACACACCAAATCGGCTTGGAGATAAACCAGGTCAAGGTCAATCTTCCCATTGCAATATTAGACGTTTCAATCTATGGGCACGCAGGAAACGCTGACGTGGGGTAAAGCGTCGTAAATTGTACGTGGATTTGGCCAGAAGGAACGTGATGCATCGATGGGATAATAAGCGATTGATAGCGTCAAGAACACTCGATGCGAAGCCAATTCCCATTTTATATTTGTGCCCCGTGAATCTAACACCTCATTTTATTGTACTTAAGCTGGGCTTCTATAACTATCCTCTGTATGAGAACGCCTGATAACGCCTGCGCCGGCTTCCCGTTTTTCCACGAAAAGGACGAATATTCACATATACTGCGCCTCACCTCATGCTAAATCCAACCGTTAGCCACCCCATCTATCATCTATCAATAAAGGCGGGAAACAGGAACCTACTGTCTAAATAATCGGCTGCAATTAATAACTCCAGACACAGCTCGAGTGGGAACTCCATATCTGGTACGTTGCTCTGGCCCTTATTCCGTTCATTGTAAAGGAGATATTCACACACTTTCTCAAGCACGACTCCACTGTAAGCTGTCTATCAGCGTGATGCTTTTTGCCTCTTGGCTCTAAAAACGCGCCAAGGCCGTTTCAACACGGGCAAGAAGAGGGAAACCACAAACTTCATGTTCTCGAAAACACAGCGGCCAGTGGCGGCTTCAGAAAAGTTGCCTAGTTAAACAAGGTTAGGTATGAAGGCATGAATTGGTACAGGGCGGCATGGGTGAAATGATATCTCACTTGCTGGATCTAGCATTCGCCGAATGGTGCCAGACACGCAGGCGGCGGTCCGGGGGATTATGAATTCGAAGCCATCTTTGGAAGCAAGAGTGACGTACTCCGATGGGGTCTGTTTGGCGGACATGGCCGTGGGGGTATGCGAGTAATTATATAGGTAGCAAACTGAGACGAAACGCCTAAAACAGTGGTAGATCCATCTTGGTGCTGGTGCTGGTTAGATACTTACTTACTATAAAATAGATATACAGGTGTGTTGATCGATCTTGAGGCTCCATTTTAAGCTTATCTTTGAGCAACTAATGATATGCATATATTTCGGTGTCATGTGCTCTCCTGCAACAAAGACAGGGCAATTGGTTTAGTGGTATAATACCCCCTTAGCATCCTCTTCCTAATTCGGAATTGGGCAGGAGCGATGGGGGTGGTCCAGGGTTCGATTCCCTGATTGTCCATTCTTTTTGAAGTTGGTATTTCTTTTTCTTTTTTCTTTTATTTCAACCCCGATATTCAAAGCAGGTCGATTTGTTATTTAATAGTTTTATTATAAATTTATCTAGCGGTCCAATTTGTCTCCACGGATGGTTGTGGAAATCGACGTTTTGTGCTCGGACGCACCTAAATTCCTACTATCTTGTGAGCATCGAAAGCTCAACGAAGCAACCACAATCTAGGACAATCAATCAAGTGGAAAGATAAACTATACTTACATTGACTCAAGTTTATATATATATATATTCGAATGGGCCGGCAAGTGGCAGGCGGCTCACACCAGTATCCCTTGAATTTCACCATTAACTAACTCGAACACCTAGGAACTATTATCTAACGCTCCAATAATATATTATTGTTGAGCAATTATCACAATGCTTCTGGGCCTCTCTCGATTGCCTTCACGGCTCCAGCCACGCGGAGTGGTATCTAACGGCTTCCTAGATCCTGAGACCCGGGCCGTGATATGTTCGTTACATGCTCAACGGCGACATGCAATCGCTCGGGGGTGGTTAGTTGGTCCAACTTCTTGTCTCTTACGACAACCACAGCTCTCCAGAAGCTTCTCGACGAGCCGTGACAGGGTCAGTGTTTCAAGCTTGTCCCACCGGATCTCGAAGCAGCTTCCTTATCAACCGCCCCTCAACGGGTTAACCTGTATGGTTACGGGCGGCTCATCCGGTATTGGCTTTGCAATTGCAGAACGATTTTTACGCGAGGGAGCAGAAAAGGTGATTCTTGTCGGGAGGAGCAAGAAAAGACTAAGAGACGCTGTTAGGGAGTTAGAAGGAGACTTCCCATTAACATCCAACGACAACCTCCCGCAAAATGACAGTGTGGATATTCACGACACAGCAGAAAGGGCGACCCGGCCTGTCCAAAGTATAGAATATGATAACGTGATGCACGATCAACCGCGCAAAGTCAGCATTGCGGCTGCGAAGGACTGTGAAATATCTCACGTCGGTCAACACTTCACACTTGCCGTTGGGGATGTTGGGAACCCGGCATTTTGGGGTGATGATATTAAAAAACTAATGGTATATATTATACATTTCTTCTTTCCATAAGCAAAAAAGAAAAGAAAACAAAAGAAAATCTCCCTTTTCCCTATAGTCCCAAATACAAACATAAAATCACTCTACAGGACACGGTCGACATCCTCATTAACGCCGCTGGAATCTCCTACACCTCTCTCCTCCCACTAGCCAAGGACGAGGACATCACTGCCATGATCCACACAAACCTTCAAGGTACAATCTTCGCCTGCCGTACCATGGCGCGACGCGCAATGCGGTCCCATTCCCGCCAAAAGTTCACAAATGCCAATGGTGATAATGGTGATAATACTTCCTTCACAAAATGCATAATTAACATATCATCCCTCCACGCGACGAAAGGCGGCGTTGGAGCCGCGACTTACGCTTCCACGAAGGCAGGCGTGGTGGCGCTGACGCGCGCAATTGTAGCGGAGAGCGCTGGCGCACGGCAATGGGCAAGGTTGCGAGCCAATGTTATTGTGCCGGGGTATATCGAGACGAAGATGGTTGATGGTATGATTGACTTCTCTTCTCCTTCGTCATTTGCTTAGTGTAGGACATGGCTAACGCCAGTGAATTTAACTCAAGATCTAAAAGCGACAGTGAGTGAACAGGCTCTGCAGGCGATTCCGCTGCATCGTTTTGGCACAGTGGAAGAAGTTGCCGATGCGGCGGTTTTCCTCGCGACGAATCAATATGCAAATAACTGTGTGTTGAATCTGGATGGGGGGCTGAGTGCGGTGTGAGAAGTAAAAGTCGTATAATCAATGGAGAGGAGCAAGGGATTGCGGTTGAATTGGATTCACAAGTTCCTGGGCCTTATGATTTTGGTCAAACGGGATGTATTTCTTAATCCAAGCGTTGCTAGAAATACAAAACTGCCCAAGCGGAGGCAGTGGCCAATGATCTACTGAAAAAATGTCTACCTCCCGGCGCATTAAAGCCATCTTAGGCCTGGCCTTCGTTCTGCGTGAGCAACATAGCATGTAACCACTGAGCACAAAACCAGCTCTCTAATCTCCTTTCCCCACCAGTCCCGACTCTAATTCACCCGCAGAAATGCAATGAAAACTTGTAAAGTGCAGATATGAAAAATGAAAATCCGCCAATCCATACCAAAAGCCCTAACCAGCCATATGCCCCGAGAAGATCAAGATTACAAAAATAAACGGAATATCACAGCAAGAAAAGAAATGAAAGCAAAGGGAAACAAAGAAGAAAAGGAGGGGCATAAGAAAAGAGGAAGGGGGAACAATAAATCCTTCGCTCTGATGCAGGCTTTGTTTCCATCTTTTCCCTTTTTCTTTCCGTTGCTGAAAAGACGGAAATGGCTCCTGTTCCATGATATTTGAATGGATAAAGGCGAGTGAGGAAGAGGCCTGCATATGTCTTATTTGCGATCGAATGCAATGCAACGCGTCGCTGGATATGATAGCGCTTATTTAACTTATTTCTTTTGTATAATACATAAAAACTGGCTGAATTTTCAGTCCTCATCGATCAGAATAGTTCCAGAATCATCTTCTAGGATGATAGGTTTTTCAGCGAGATCACCGTCACCATCCGCCACGGACATTGTCGCAAGGCGCTTTGTCGGTTTATCTTCTTTATCGTCTGGATTTTCGTCTGCTTCGCGCTTCCGTTTTCCCGTGGTAGTTCTGTTAGTAGTAGAAGTGGTGCCATTCGTATTTAAATCCATATCAAGCTGCGGTTTTCTGGGAATGTCAGGTTTGGATGGTAAGGAAATGGGTTGTGTGGTTGGGTCAGTGAACGGTCTAAATAACAATTAGATTTGTCGCAGACAGTAAACAAGGACTTAAGTAATGATAGATATTCTTACCTCTCAGAAACAAGCAAATCCAGGTTCACTCGGGTATTCTCATCCTCCTCATCAACAACAGTGAGGAAACTGTCATTGGAGACTCCTAAATCTTTAAGTTTCTTCGGCAGGTTGTCATCTAGATCTGGATCGTAGATGGTTCCCATCTGGTTATTGATCGAGAGCTCTTCGCCATACCCAAGCTGCCCACGAAGAACGTCCTGGACTAAATCGTCTAGTGTAGCTCTTTCGAGGTCAATGGAAACCCTTCCTTGCGCTACGCTGCAGACTGGACACTGAGGGTTAGGGGAACTCAGATTTGCAGTATTTATAGCACGGACGCCTGATCGCTCGAGGAAGACCTATTACGCCGTAAGCAATCGTTTGAGATGTACGAAAGGGATCTCTGACCATTTTTGCTTTGCCATATTCGTCCTTCAGTACCTTAAACGCCTGAAAAACACATATTGCTGCCGTCATGGCATTTGTCGTGGCAATTGCTGGTATGATATTCCCAGCCATCTCTGCTCGCGGAGTTTAGCACATTGGTGCCCAAGTTGACGAGACGCTTGTTTCAGTACTCACGTTTTATCTCAAATTTTGATTTCATTTCAATTCCAAATATGTAAGATCGGAGATTTGCGCTTGCCGTGACGAAGTCGAGTGTGTCCACATCATCCTTATCGAAAGCTATCACAGGTTTATATCCATCTGTAACTGCAGCTTCGAGCTCCTGCAGCCTCCTTGAAAGACGACCAAGGCTATATAATGTTAGTTTCTCGCGCTTTAAAATAACTGTAAGCTCTGAAATAGATAGCAGTACCTGTCTTTGAAGACCGCGAAATTTTCTACCAGGCTCCAAATCTTCTGGTCATCCGAAGATATAGTTGAGTCCACTGCGGTCGCTTCTTGCTGAAGGGGATCAAATGATAGAGGCTGGGGCGGTTTCCTAGTTTTCCACATGTCCTCCATCTTCCGTAGGCGGTCTACATCCTCATTGAAGACTTTTGTGAACACTTTTTCGGCAAATCCATCAGATCCCATTGATTGGCGAATGGATAGCAACGCTTGAGCCTCTCTTTGCAAATTTTGAATCTCCTCCGCTGAATATGAAATACGTCAGTGTTCTGGAAGAATGAATTATAGGTGTTCCAAGAACGGTTATACCATTTTCGGCGTCCTCAGAATGGTCGAACTCCTCTGGATCGCTTTCGCTTTCTCCAAATAGCTCTCTAGGAACTTGTTGTTAGCCTGGTTCAAAATAGCTACCATCAAGATAAAAAGAGGCTCACGGTAGTAGATAGCTCTTTGCCCAAACTATGCAATGTATGGATTGGCTGGGAGTACTCCGTATCGTGCATACTGGGAATGACTTGGGCACTTGTTTCGCATTGCAGTCATAACACTCAGTACGTCCCTACCAAGTGTAAGCCATTACATTACGCCCACGATAAGAAATCACCGTATGCCTACCTTTTTTATGACCTGCACCTGACCGTTAAACCCTGTGGTGCCGCTCTCAATCAGAGGAACGTTTGCCGCTAGACACATGCGATTGACGTGTCTGCGCGCATCTAGATTGTCCAATGCATTGAACACGATATCGAACGACTCAAAGAATTCAACATTGAATTGTGGATCTTTGATATTGGCATGATACGCGTGGAGGGATACGTCTCGCCGGAACTTGCTAGCGACTTCTTTTGCGACCTGGATAGCGAGAAAGTAAAAGGTTAGCTATGATGCAAGCACGATAAGATGAACAATACATACTAATGCCTTTGGTTTTTTTATGTGCTCTTGTCTGAAGAGGAACTGTCTGTTCAGATTGCTGAGATCTATTGTGTCGAGGTCTACGATGTGGATTTCTCCGAAACCAGTAAGGACTAGGTTTTTCAGCAGCTCACAACCAATGCCGCCTGCACCAACTAAAAACACGCGGGACTAGGTAGAATAGATAAAAGTCAGTCCGAATGAACCTATTCCACGGCTGTTATCTGTTAACAAACCTTCCTAATCTTGGTCAACAGAGAACCCAGCGGCTGCCTTTGGAGCTTATCCATGCTTGGTGCAGAAGAACTTCCATGCGATCTGGGAGACGGCGTGATGGGAAATGATAGTTATGGGTGCCTTATAGGAATCAAACGCCAAAATGACGGCCGATAGGAGATTTGGAGTGGTTGGCAGGTCAGATTCAAACCCGGTTTGTTCAAAAGTCGAAATGAGACTTCGTAAAGGATATTTAAAGCTAGCCCTGGCAGAGTTTGATAACGAGCAACGGGCGGTGACATCAGAATCAAACACATGAAACCCAGTTACAACAGAACATATAATATCATGTAGAACACAGCAGGGATATATCCATTCACTTCAACACATTTCTCTGCGGTCGCTCTTTGAGATCCCATCTCCAATTCACCTGATGCATCATGCAGCTTACAACGTGGGTATCAATGTCAAAATATCTCCTCCTTTAAATGTCTTCATTCTTTGTTTCCTTTTATTTCCTCTTTGCTGAAGCAATTCTCAAACTCTCTAATTCTTTACTACATGACGACAGGATTTAAAAGGACAAAAGGTACTAGGAATCGTCAACATAATGTGGCAGTTGGTCAGTACCATAAATTCACCAGGATCGTACGATCTACGGAATACGTAAGGAAATAATATATATTTTCCTCGTATAAATTCCACTGGTACCTCATCCGGCGTTTGGTCATTACAGGATATAGTTAAGTGTTTGTCTCATGAGAAGATTTTTTTGCTTCATTTGAAGCATCAATGTGTGGATCGAACATTATTTTGAACTGTTTGAAAGTAACCCCCTGGGTTGTTTAAGACTAGAAATGACAATGGCTATCAGTATTCCTAAGGCACAGCGAGTTATTGTTATGCGGAAGATGAGCTGTATAGATGCCAGCCGCCCGAAGGGTTGAATCCAGCGGAAGATGAGTGGGTTACGACATCCAATACGAGCAGGAGTTATTGAGATGATTTGTCCACTTCTCAGTCATTGAGGGATCGTGGTTGATAAGTCGTTCACAATGGACATAAGTGTAATCTCGTTGTCGACTTCTTGGACACTCATTGGTCTTACAAGCGCCGGGAACTGGACGCATTCACGCTCATATAAGGTCCCTCCTGATCTTGAATCTCAATAAGATATGATATGTCCATGGCGCCAACTTGTTCGTAGGAGGCTCTACCACAGCAGGCTCCTATCAACCTGAACGCATTTCCCACTAGGCTAGAAGGAAAGATTTCTCATTCGCACCAGCACGGTCAGTTTGCCGTTGTGAATACGGATGCTGTGTTCGACGGCTCCCTACAGAGTCAGCATGCGGCAGGAATAGAGTCGGACGTTCAGGAAGCACCTAACGCCAACACGCTTTCAAGAACATACGAGAGGAGAATAAGTCGCGGGAGTTTTGGTTCGCGCTCCATGATGCTCAATTTCTACAGGATGCAAAAGTTTGAAAAGAACAAACAGAACGAGATCCACAAGAGGTACTTGATCCACACTACATCGGACTAACTAGTTACGGTAGTTATGGCGGCTGCTCTGGTGTCCCTTATGTAATATCCAATTACAAGGCATCTTTTTTTTTTTTTTTTTCATTTCCACCGTGGATGTCTATGTGGGTTCACGAGCTTTCTACATTCTCAATTTGATATTGGCATTGATAACATTGTACCAGGTTCGAGAATCGCTACATTTACCAATTCACATACTTGTACTTTTTTATGGTTTTTCAAGTTCGTGAGACCAATTATTTCCCTTCTTCTGTGCTGCAGCAGTGCAGTATTAAATGCCCCTCACTGAAACGGCGGTCTATCCCGGGGAAAACCACATACAGGAACACTACATTTATCAGACAATATTCCTGATGGCATCAAAAACGTAGACAGAAATTTCGTTTTCCAGATTTGTTTTGTTTTCCGATTTCCTTGCCATTGTGGAAAATACTTGCACCTAGGATTACCGACAAAGGTGGCCCGGTAGACATAAAAGAAACCACAAGAAATCAGCAGCATGTCGGACGACGAAGCAGACCCCGAGCTGCTGGAGTTGCTCCGTCAGTCCCTCGGACTCGGCCGCCAAGCAAAATCAGGGCCTTCCGTCGATACAAAAGTCCTTGCAAGCGCCCAACATGTCTTCGACAACTCCGTCGATGTGGCCTTAGACCCTTTCAAAACCAAGGCCGCAGCAGAGACCATCTGGCAGCTGATGCAGAAGAAGAGGTATTCTACGAAGAAGTGGGCAGAGCATGAACTGCACCCGCAGGCCAAGGATGCAAACACGGTTGATTTCATCTTCACGATGGATTTGTTGAATTTTAGCTTCTGGTCGGATGAGGCGGATGAGGCGAAGCAGTTTGCCATCGAGTATCGAGGGAATAGGTGGAAGGGATATTGGAGTCTGGTGGCTGCGTTGCAGAGAGCTCTCGATGAAGGTATGGGCAACTTTTCATCCCTCCTTGTTTCTGCTGTAACAATTTTGATATGCGTATTCAGGACATGTAGCTGAGACTATCAGAGATCCCAATCACGAGCTCGGATTTCTGGCAGAATGAGGACGAATGCACAGAGGAAGTTTTGCGCCATGTATTCCGGTCTGCAACGGATGAGGAAATCCCCATGTTCCAAGAACGCCTAGATTGTCTTCGTGAGGCCGGGAAAATTCTCTACGATGTGAGTATTCATAGTATACATACCTGCGCAATTATTTGCCCTTTTCTTATTTGGGATATCAGCCTAATTTCCTCCCCGCAGAAATACCGCTGTAGCTTCACATCCTGCATTGAAGAAGCCAACGGCTCCGCCGCAGTACTCGTAAATCTGATTGCAGATAACTTCCCCTGCTTCAGAGACAGGACGAGGTTCGAGGGGAAGGAAGTACGCTTCTACAAGCGCGCCCAGATCCTGGTCGCAGACCTCTGGGCCTGTTTCCGTGGCAAATCCTACGGGAAATTCCATGATATTGATAAACTCACAATGTTCGCAGGTATGCTTATATGTGTATATATGTCTTTCCTGTTTTACATCTCCATTTTCCACATAATTTTCATACTTATGGTAATGCTATTGTTCAAGACTACCGAATCCCCCAAATGCTACACACCCTCGGCTGCCTGCTCTATTCCCCACCGCTAGAAACGCACATCCGCCAGCGCAAACTACTGCCAAGTGGACACAGATGGGAAACAGAGCTACGCGGCACGAGCATCTGGTGCATCGAGCTGATCCGCCGCGAGATTGAAAAGCAGCATGACAAAATGGCACGACCTGGTATGTATGCGGAGCTGACGCCGCAGCTCATGACGGCGTCCGGGTCTGTGGCGGCGTCGGGATCTGTTTCTGTGAGGGGTGCAGGAGGTGAGGGGGATGTGGGGGATGATGAGAAAGGGGAGGTGGTGAGTGCCGATGCTGAGGAGGAGGAGGAGGAGGAGGAGGAAAAAGAAGAGAAAAATGAGGCGTATCCATTGGGTGTCAATGCGGTGTTGATTGATTTCATGCTGTATGATTCGATAAAGGAGATGGAAAGGGAAGGGAAGGAGACTATCCCACACCATCGTACAAGGAGCATTTGGTACTGATTTTCCAGGTGCTCGCCAGGAAAAAGACTTGGCTTTGTTTTCCATGTGGCGAGAATCGTGCCATGCCTACCTTTTTATTTTAATTCCCAAAGTCCTTTGGCGTTTCTTCGGTTTCTGGGATTGGATTCGCGGTTTGTAGATGACATGGCAATTGGATCAAAGACGGCGTTATGTGGCTTCCTAACAGCTCCTGCTAGATGTAGTACAGATTATTGATGCCGAGAATCATATGCATTTATCTATATAATAATGTGTTCCTAAACATTTACGCCAGTTTAGAAAGCCGGGAAAGGGGTATCATATCTATACATTTACGTCATATTGAAAAAAAATCACCCCACAAACTGCCTGAATAAGACTTCTTCTATGAAGCAGCCATCCCTTTTTCAATAGCATGTATCCTCTTCATAACCCCTTCTTTCCACTCTAGATAGTCTTCCCTTATATCCTCGCTCAACCAATTGAGACGATCCTGCATCATGGTGCCTAGGCCAGGCTGCAAACCACCCTGTGCCTTCGCATCCCGATTTTCGCCTCGCCGTTGATTTTGCCGCCGGATTACCCTCCTTTTTTGAGGGCTAACAATTTCATCGTCATCGTCGTCGTCGTCATTTCCATTTCCCGCTCTTTTTGCCAATCCCTCGCCCCGATTCCCTTTCACACCTTCGCCGCCTTTCGAGGGACTGGGTATGTTGTCAAACCACTCCGTTCCCACCGTCCAGTTCTGCGTCATAATAATAGATAGCCACATATCCACGTCGTTAACATATGTTTTCCCTTCCAGACCGACAACCGTCAGCGCTGCAGCAGCCATTTCCAAATACGTATCCACATCCCAGTTCTCAGCTGGTGGAAGGGTTGAGTATGTTGAGGACTGTGCAATACCCCGATGCATACGAGTGAGTACGACAAAATATACAGCCACAATCAATGTAGTGATTCTATCTCTGTAAATTTTGTCATCATTGGAGCCAGGTTCGTGCATTCCGGGTGTCGTTTTCATCGATGCGATAAGCGGGGAGATGAATTGCGTTTGATTTTTACCTCGCTGCGGCTCCGTTTCAGAAATATACGAGAGAATGGAGGAGACCCCGGCGAAGATATGTGGGGGCAAACCGGTCGAAAATGAAGGGCGCGTGGGGGATGCTGAGCTAGCTGTAGACGTGGCTGATGTTTTACATATCCGTCGAATAAGTGGCATTGTCCACGATGGGGCATCTTTCACTGAACTGTGGCTGGAAATGCCATTGGAACCCTTTCCGCGTAGGGCTACCTTTGTCCTATTATGATCTCTCGCTGCTCTCTGAGGCGGCGTTGTAGGAAGAGGGCGCTTGAGCGGTGAGCCATTCGGCGCGGTCGTTACAGCTGGAGAATTATTTTTCGACGGTGTCCGCAGAGATGAGGATGTGCCTATAGGTTTCCTTGGGGTATTTGGTGCAGAGGAAGTGGTTTTTGAGGATTTCAGTAACGCCTGCTCGAGGTATGTGTATATCTTCTTGTATACGCGGGGTGGGCATGGGGGTCTGCCCAGGGGAGAGGGAAGTTTGAGAGATTTTCTTAATCTACACAAGAGGTGTTGATTGTAATGCCCGCTTGATTAGCCAGTGATTGATGAAATATGGTTTGCGGAATTTCATTTAGATTTGAAGGGGAAAAAAGAAAAAAAATCAACCCACCGTTTGCAAGCAATCTCCGCGCAAACATACGGCCTAGCAATTTCTTCTTCGGGCTTCAAACTACTTCCATACGTGCGTGACTGTGCGAGGAGGCTTGCGGCGTGTTTGACGAGCTCCGGGGGGAGAGCTTCGGCATGGGTGGGAAGGAGGTTCGCAAGAGCTTGCTCCAGGGATTTGTTGCTCATGACGGCGGATGAGGGGAGTTGTGGGTACGTATGGGATAAATTTAGGATAACATGCTTGTTGGTATCAGTCCAACCTTCTAATGGTCTAAGGTAACTATTTTCGCAGTAGTTAGTTAGTTACTCCATATGCGATGATGTGATGTTGAGTGGAAGTTGTTCCGCAACTCGCATCCCGCTAGAAAGCCACGTGACCACGCCTATACAAACCTTTACTAAGAACCAACCTTCTACCTCTTATCAATCCTAGGATATAACTGCTAGTTAATTGCTTGTTCCACTGACAAAATATATGGTAAATTAAATAGTTAACTAGTTAGTTAATAACTACGAGGAATCTCCCAAGGGTAGTTTTATTCATTCGACCAGGGATTCCCACAGCATCATGAGAAGAATAACCTCTGCCGTCCCGTGGTTCTGATCCGCTCAGAGTAAGTTTCTCTCGCCTTGTTTCCTCAATCCTAGTGTCGAATCGGCATTTTGCCTTGGAACCGATCCCGAAGTTTTTCCTCAGAATGATCTTGGTTGTGCCATGCCCGAAGTTATTTTAGATCCTATATTGCGGTAATGATTTCGGCTTCTATCCAGCAACGCTCATTCGAGAGACTTATACAATACAATCCCGAAAAGATTGCGTCACGTTCTGCAGCTGGTCATCCGAGCAAGCCTTGCTACCTGTCCCACCCGCCAATTGCCCCTCAGGCCCTTTCCGGCAATCACTCTATACAAAAGGACGTGGCTTGTCTGCTTGATAAGAAACATATTTCATCCCGCGTTAACTGCTAAGTAACTAACTACTGGATTTCGTTGGAACCAAAAATGGGCCAAACATATAAGGAAATCTCAGCTATCGTGCAGAAACGGCGAAATGACTCGCTGTCGGCCTTCTTCCCGCTCACTGATATTGCAGAGGACAGCCTCCCTCAGGACCTGAGATCGTTCCCAAAAGCCTCGGGACTCCTTTCACCGGAGGAACTAGAAATCATCGATTCCGACGCCGAAACCCTTCTGCAAAAGATAAGAGAGAGGAAGTTGACCTCTGTCGATGTAACAAATGCATTCTGCCGGGCGACTGTGATTGCGCAAAAACTTGTACGTTGATCATCCCAGCGACAAGCTTTACCCTTGCAAAAGAAAAATAAAATCCTAATACCCTATTCTTAGACGAACTGTGTAACGGAAGTCCTGTTCAATGAAGGCCTGGAGAGGGCAAAGTATCTCGATGAATACCTGGAACGCACTGGGTCTGTCATAGGACCACTCCACGGTTTGCCGCTATCTCTGAAAGACAATTTTGTCACTTGTCCTCATCCATCATCAATCGGTATGGCGGTGCATGCGAACGTCCCCACCGACAAGGACTCCGTCCTCGTAACCATGCTTCGAGACCTGGGTGCAGTCTTTTACGTGAAAACCAACGTCCCCACAGCTATGATGATGGGAGAAACTACTAATCGGGTCTGGGGCGAAACCAGAAACCCTATCCACAAGGGGCTAACTCCAGGAGGATCCAGCGGTGGCGAGGGAGCTCTTCTCGCAATGAAAGCGTCACCGTTGGGCGTTGGAACGGATATTGCCGGTAGCATCCGCATCCCGAGCGCTTTCTGCCAGCTCTATGGCCTCAAGCCATCATTCGGACGCTTCTCTACTTTAGGAGGTAGGCCAAGTATAGCAGGCCAGGACTTCGTATATGCTGTCTGTGGGCCCATGTCCAGTTCACTCGGCGCCGTCAAGTTGTTTTGTGAATCAGTTCTCTCCGAGACCGCTGCACCCTGGAACCTGGACCCGAAGATCATACCGATGCCATGGCGAAAGGACGTTATTCAGCCAAAGGGGCGTATGCTACGATTTGGTATCCTTGGACCTAGTGACGGGGTGATAACTTGCCATCCACCCGTAGAGCGGGCGTTGACGACCGTTAGCAACGCCTTGAAGGCTGTGGGACATGATGTGATTACCTGGTGAGTGGCTTTGGTACACGTATACCTAGCATTGTCACTGGCACGCCAAAGCTAACGACTCTCTGCTCCAGGGAACCAATTGGCCACAGGGAGATCGTTTCACTGCTCAACGAATCCTTTGATGAATTAGGATCTGATGCTATCATGCCATTATTAGAAGAATACAAGGAGCCACTGTACGGCTCCATGGAGCGGGCTTTCAGCGCATACAAGAACAAGACTGAAAAGTTAGATCCCGCGAAATTGCGGCAGATGATCGTGAAACGAAACCAGCTCCAAAAGAATTTCCTCGACCGGTGGATGGCAACGAGGACAGATTCGGGCGGGCCCATTGATGCTATAATTGCCCCAGTTGCCCCCTCCGGTGCGCCCCGTCTAGGTCAGGGGGAGGCGGTGGACTATATCGGATATACTGGATTCGTGAATTTGCTGGGTAAGCGGAGAACTTGGGATCTCCCCTTTTTCTCCTAAGAAAGATACAGTATCAGGAAAGGTAGCTAATAACCACGTAGATAATTGCGCTTGTACATTCCCGGTAACTTATGCAGACAAGTCGATCGATCATCCACGCGGTGAGGGCTGGGTACCGCTGAATTCAAGAGATGAAATGATACAGGCGGATTATGATCCTGAGTTCTACCATGGAGCGCCTGTTTCTTTGCAACTGGTCGGGAAGAGACTGGAGGAGGAGAAGGTGGTTGAGATGGTTGAAGTTGTGGCACATGTCCTGAAGATTACTACCTAATGTGCCTGGATATAAGAGAGGCTGGTGGCGTTATAACCGTTAGTTAGAGCAATGTTATCAGATCGCAAGCAACATATGGATATCTGTATCTCATCGTTCCAGTTTCTTGGAGTGAGATTTTCATTGATACTAGTATTATGCGTATCATCTGAATGCGTTGGTGCGCCTTGTTTAACAGGAGTTGGGCTGGTTGCCAGTGCAACCAGACAGACGGTAATGGATACGAGCCCGCTAGGCTGCAACCAACATTTGCTCGCTCCCCCGAAAACAAGAGTTCGACAGAAAACATCCATTGGAGTCGAGACAAATATCCCAACTATTTCCCACAATCCCTCAATTCCACCTATTACCATAGAGCCGTTTCATATAATTCAAATTATATATAAATACACTTATATACACACATATTTACAATGCCAGCAACCACCCGCCGCCGCTCCGGCAACTCAAACCAATCCACCCTCTCCTTCGGCGCTCAACACAAAGTCTCCCAGCCCACGACAATCTCTTCATCACTCGCCGGCAAAAAGGGTAAGAAAACGACAGATGTCAGCTCCCCAGCCGGAGAGCTTCGCCGGCGGAGCGCCTCTGGTTCAGTATCACCGGTATCCGTAACCACTCCCGTTGTTGAACCACCATCTCCAAAAGCCAATGTCCAGTGTCCCGCTGAGATCGAGTCGGAGCAAAAGCCCGTTGCGTCATCGTCGCGGAGTGAAAATATCATTGCTGAGCAGGCGAGGGTTGAATTACGGCTGCGGAAATCCGAGGAGGATAGGCAGGCGGAGGAGCTGACGGAGGAGGATATAAGGAAATATTGGGAGAACGAGGAGGCGGGGAGGCTTGCACCGAGGGGTGAGTTTTGCTCCATTTCGTTTTTGCATTGGAATTTCGGTTTTGGGATTTTTTTTTTTTTTTTTTTTTTGGCCTCCTGCATTCTCTAGACCTATCTAGCTGTGCATTGGAAGAATGCTAAATAATGACCTGCCTGTCACTGCCACGATAGTACATCAAGAGCACCTGACGGTTCATGAGAAGATCCTACGACATTTTGATTTGTCTAATCAATATGGGGTACGTTATAACACATAATCTCAACCCAGAGGATTTTCGACGTCCTGCGTAAACTCGACTAACTGGGACAAATGCAAATACATAGCCCTGTATCGGGATTGCACGACTAAAGCGCTGGAGGCGAGCGCAGATGCTCAACCTGAATCCACCCATTGAGGTCCTTGCTGTGCTGTTGAAGGATGAGGCGAAGGGCGTTGCGAATGAGAAGGCGTATATTGACGAATTGATGTCGTAGGACATGGTACAAGCTGGCTGAGTGGTTTGCTACTTGACCTTTCAATCCCAGGCGTGGAGGTCAACGCATATTTGCGTTTTCCTCGCGATTGCGCATTGGTAATTTTGTTCGTTTCGGAGTTAACCTTTGGCTCCTTTTCTGCGTCTGCGCCTTTCGTTTTTTTAGTCCTCTCGAAAGCCTTGTTGTTCTTCCGGAGTCTGATATGATATGATATGGGGATATGGAATTGGGGAAGTCCGGCGTCTTTCTTACATGCAATGCAGTCTATCTATTAACAACACTGAAGTTTCCCCCTTTAATTCGCAACTATTTCAGCCGATCTGTTGCCGTTGAGTGTGTTATTTCGACAAGTGATATCTGTTCACGCTAACTAAAGCCAGTGATATGGGATGAACAACACATGAGAATGTATTCGGAAATGCCCCCACAGTATCGACATATCTACATTTCGCTATATCGATCCAATAACAGCAATTAATCTGCAAGAGATGCTTGTGAAATTCGGAATTGATATATCGTATGCGCTTAGACAATAATAACTTATCTTTCTCGGGATGTCACAGAACCCCACAAGCGGGCCTAGAATCACCGCTTCAATTGGGTATAGGATAAATCATGTATGCTACATTTATTGACCAGAGCAACTCACTGTCAATTGAGATTCCAAATGCTTTTGGTGGCATTGATATTTGTTGTGGATACGGATATACAAAAATCGGGGCGATATAAATGCGTTACTCCCGAGCTGGCTCCATGTCCATCACAGCATTTGATATAGCTAACTCTCCGGATCTTCCAACCCAACGGCCATTCTTTCGCTCTCAGCCATGTTCTTGCTGATGACCGTACAGATGATCCAGTGCATTGTTTTTCGGCAGTGGATAAGAGGCTCAACATTGAAGCCAGATCAGAAAGTTTTACTTTTCTTTCCCTAGCTTCAGAAGCGCCAATATCTCCCACTTATCCCCCAAATATAACCCCGTTTTCTAGTTTTCTAACCCAGCATCTTCGAAAAAAGAATTGCCGGATGATGCCGATCTCAATTTTCCAAAGGATTTCAGTGAGCATTTCAAGGATGAAATCCACAAGTTGTACCGGGGGCCCAGTCGGATTACGCAGTCAACTGTCGCGAAACCCAAACCCCCCATGGTCGTCTGGCCTAAGCGAGATAGGATACCCTTGTTGTTCTTAGGGATGTCTGCTGTGTGGCCAACCATGTTCAGCCGATTTTGCATTATTCCCTGGATTGCTGGAGTCCCAACCGAGTAAGTACAGAAGGGCTGGGCAGAGAAGAATACTGGCAGAAATACTCCGTATGTCTGGAGAATTCCTCCCTTGCTTCTCGCGAAATACGGATGCCAAAGGACTGCGGATGAAACAAAGAGGTTATATGTATCATTTTTCACAAAGCCCCGGGGCATCTGTGGAATAACCTCTCGTGGAGAGATTACACGGAGGTGGCACATCTTTATTATGGTCAAGGGTATTCATTGGCGTTGCTGAGAGGTTCATGCAGCCGATGGCTTCGATTAAAGCCGCGGTTCTAGCACCTCTATCATAGGAACAGGTCAAGGGTCAAAACGCTCCATGGGCGAATGTGAATACAAGGAATCCAGGGGCGGAAAGGGGGAAAGTGGAGAAATTAATCCCGGAGCTCTTTTCCTCCAGAAAAAGGAGGATAAATCCATACTTATGTATATAGATGCTTCAACATTCAAAGCTGACGAAAAACCATCGGGATGAACGATTGAATCCACCATGAGTCCCCAGACTTCTGATATGTGCAAGCTGAAGAGTAGATAAATATAGCTACACATGGGAGAATACAACGTAAGCCAGATCTTTTCCTAACTACGGAGTAGTCATTTTCCTAATCATGTAAAACTTTCACTCACTCTCAGTTCGTGAGTTCTTGTCATCTTCCCGATTTTGAAGTTTGCTAAATATAGACCCGTTCTCTGGCACAGGACCTTTCAAGGATGTAAAAGTAAGATGAATATGTGTGGATCTGCTGTAATCCTTTCTTTCCAGCAAACAAAGTCCAGATATTCCTTCTCCATGTGGCCAGCTGGACAGCCGGGTGTGTTTCTGTGAAAAATTAAGTACGAGGGACTCCAGAGTACTACTGCATCCCATATCATGAGACGTTGGCAGCATAAGTGCTAAGAATTGGAAAGTTTCTTCATAATCTGAGGTACTGTTCAATACTGAACGTCAATTTGGGCTTCTCTCTGCTTTTTGTAATATTTCGATAATGAGATAGCACTACTAGTACTTTTAAGTATTACTAGTATGGTGGTTCCGTTCCCACAGTTGGTGGCAAGTTAAAAAGGTTCGGCGAACGTACGGATCTTCTTGAACTCTCCTCGGTCAATTATTTCTTCAATCAAACAATGATCGCTAGCAAATACCCAACCTTTCACCCCCGGTTCCTTTCAATGTGTCTTTCTTTATGTGACATGGCAGCTAACCATGCCGCCGCTGGCCTGGGCCCCGTTGCAACCTCCGTTTTCCCTCAGGACGTAGGCTGATATCAAACATTCCATTCCCCAT